TTTCAACTGTCGTACTTAGGGTTAGGGTTATTTAACTTGCTTCAACTGTCTTACTTAGGGTTAGGGTTATTTAACTTGCTTCAACTGTCTTACTTAGGGTTAGGGTTATTTAACTTGCTTCAACTGTCGTACTTAGGGTTAGGGTTATTTAACTTGCTTCAACTGTCTTACTTAGGGTTAGGGTTATTTAACTTGCTTCAACTGTCGTACTTAGGGTTAGGGTTATTTAACTTGCTTCAACTGTCGTACTTAGGGTTAGGGTTATTTAACTTGCTTCAACTGTCGTACTTAGGGTTAGGGTTAGGGTTATTTAACTGGCTTCAACTGTCTTACTTAGGGTTAGGGTTATTTAACTTGCTTCAACTGTCGTACTTAGGGTTAGGGTTATTTAACTTGCTTCAACTGTCGTACTTAGGGTTAGGGTTATTTAACTTGCTTCAATTGTCGTACTTAGGGTTAGGGTTATTTAACTTGCTTCAACTGTCGTACTTAGGGTTAGGGTTATTTAACTTGCTTCAACTGTCGTACTTAGGGTTAGGGTTATTTAACTTGCTTCAACTGTCGTACTTAGGGTTATGGTTATTTAACTTGCTTCAACTGTCGTACTTAGGGTTAGAGTTATTTAACTTGCTTCAACTGTCTTACTTAGGGTTAGGGTTATTTAACTTGCTTCAACTGTCGTACTTAGGGTTAGGGTTGGGGTTATTTAACTTGCTTCAACTGTCGTACTTAGGGTTAGGGTTAGGGTTATTTAACTGGCTTCAACTGTCTTACTTAGGGTTAGGGTTATTTAACTTGCTTCAACTGTCGCACTTAGGGTTAGGGTTATTTAACTTGCTTCAACTGTCGTACTTAGGGTTAGGGTTATTTAACTTGCTTCAACTGTCGTACTTAGGGTTAGGGTTATTTAACTTGCTTCAACTGTCGTACTTAGGGTTAGGGTTATTTAACTTGCTTCAACTGTCGTACTTAGGGTTAGGGTTATTTAACTTGCTTCAACTGTCGTACTTAGGGTTATGGTTATTTAACTTGCTTCAACTGTCGTACTTAGGGTTAGAGTTATTTAACTTGCTTCAACTGTCTTACTTAGGGTTAGGGTTATTTAACTTGCTTCAACTGTCGTACTTAGGGTTAGGGTTGGGGTTATTTAACTTGCTTCAACTGTCGTACTTAGGGTTAGGGTTATTTAACTTGTTTCAACTGTCGTACTTAGGGTTAGGGTTATTTAACTTGCTTCAACTGTCTTACTTAGGGTTAGGGTTATTTAACTTGCTTCAACTGTCGTACTTAGGGTTAGGGTTATTTAACTTGCTTCAACTGTCGTACTTAGGGTTAGGGTTATTTAACTTGCTTCAACTGTCTTACTTAGGGTTAGGGTTATTTAACTTGCTTCAACTGTCGTACTTAGGGTTAGGGTTATTTAACTTGCTTCAACTGTCGTACTTAGGGTTAGGGTTATTTAACTTGCTTCAACTGTCGTACTTAGGGTTAGGGTTATTTAACTTGCTTCAACTGTCGTACTTAGGGTTAGGGTTATTTAACTTGCTTCAACTGTCGTACTTAGGGTTAGGGTTATTTAACTTGCTTCAACTGTCGTACTTAGGGTTAGGGTTATTTAACTTGCTTCAACTGTCTTACTTAGGGTTAGGGTTATTTAACTTGCTTCAACTGTCTTACTTAGGGTTAGGGTTATTTAACTTGCTTCAACTGTCTTACTTAGGGTTAGGTTTATTTAACTTGCTTCAACTGTCGTACTTTTGACTTTCGTCTTTTGTCTTATTGGTCGAAACTGGCGACGTAATTTTGACCACTTCTAACGGACCACTTTCAACCTTGCCACGTAGGTCAAGACCCGTTGACAACGCAATCTGACATAAAATTTTACTTAATTGGATGTTTAATTTTTCGAGCTATCATATTGGAGCATATACGTACATTATTTGCCTTCATTTTAATAAAAATAAACCGGAAGTGGTACTTTTTCTACTTTGAATTTTTCAAAAGCCTATAACTTGAGTACTATTTCAGATAGATACATGAAATTTCACAAGTAAGTAAAAGATCTAATTCTCTACCTTCTGTCAAATTTTGAGTAATTTCCGTTGACCGGAAGTACTAATTTACGCTATTTCCGATTTCTCAAAAACTAATGTAAATTTATAAAGTACTAATAATATTCCGCACTATTATGCACATTTTATTTGGCGTTCACTTGTGTGCAATTTTTTTTTCTACGAGATTTTATTCTATTTTTAAAAGTTTAAGTATTTAAAATGGATTAAAATTCATGTCTATATCCCGAGTTCCCATCCACTGTTTTTTTATATAAGAATATTCGAGAAAGTTTAGGGAAGATCACTCCCGGTTTTTAATTTTTTTTCATATACCATTGACCGATATGTTAGATTAAAAGTCACTTTTGCTACACGGGCCATAAAATGAGATAGGACCTATACAAATGTTTAAAACTGTCTTCATTCTATAAATGATTTATGGCCTTAATTGTTGTGGTTTGTTATCTCTTGAGGTTGATTTTTGCAATGATAGACGTTAAATAGATTTGAAAAGTCTATGTAATCATACAAAATAAAAATAAAAAAATCTTTAAAAATTCAAATTAAAAAAAAACTTTTATCAAATTTGGCAAGCGATAAAACTATAGTTTCATAAAAAAATTAAAGCCGTTAAGGAAACATAGATTACACTCGTTTTTATATTTTTGTATTGAAAATAAGCCGTTGAAAAGCCGTTCAGCATTATTTTATCAATTCAAATTAAAAAAAAACAACCGCCCTCAACCTCTATTTGAAGTCAACCGGAATGGTCAGGGAGAGTAAAACAATGAAAGTCACAACAATTGTTTTCCATGATAAAATACACAAGAACAATCAATAGGGTATAGCCTAGTAGTTTATTTATATCAAGTAATATAACATCCCCTATCATCAAAACACCAAGACTCTACTAATCCAAATTAGAAATAAAATTACTATAAAATCACTAATAACTATTTGTTTGAGCATTTTTATTTCTCTAATGATATAAAATATTCAATTTTGGCTAAAAATATGCTCTCTGGCAACAACTGTTTGGAACCAGCATTTTAAGGCTATTACTAAATAGGATAATAAATTTTAGTGTTTTATATATATATATATATATATATATATATATATATATATATATATATATATATATATATATATATATATATATATATATATATATATGTATGTGTGTATGTGTGTGTGTGTGTGTATGTGTGTGTGTGTGTTTATCTGTATAAAAATATTTAGGGGTGAGAAAATTTTTTGCGGAGGTAGGAGGAAAAGGGGGGGGGGGGGTCTCATTTTGTCACATAATATCTGGATGTGTATCGCCATAATATCTGGATGTGTATCGCCATAACATCTGGATGTGTATCGCCATAATATCTGGATGTGTATCGCCATAATATCTGGATGTGTATCGCCATAATATCTGGATGTGTATCGCCATAATATCTGGATGTGTATCGCCATAATATCTGGGTGTGTATCGCCATAATATCTGGATGTGTATCGCCATAATATCTGGATGTGTATCGCCATAATATCTGGATGTGTATCGCCATAATATCTGGATGTGTATCGCCATAATATCTGGATGTGTATCGCCATAATATCTGGATGTGTATTATCAGGACTGGATGGTTCACGTCACGTTTGCCTGTCGTCCCTACTGGGACATAGGCCGCTGACAAGAGCTTTCAGACGTCTCTGTCCAGGTCTAGTCTCTCCAACTGTCCCCAGGTGTATCCAATCTTCTTGGTGTCTTCTTCCAGGTCACGTCTCCAGGTCTTTCTAGGTCTGCCTCTCCTCCTCCTGCCTTGTGGATTCCAGGTGAGGGCCTGTCTTGTTATGCTGGATACAGGCTTCCTGAGTGTGTGGCCAATCCATTTCCATTTTCTCTGGAGGATCTCTACTTCAACTGGCAGTTGATTTGTCCGTTGCCATAGAACATATTTCTGATAGTTTTAGGCTAGCGAATTCGCAGGATCTTTCTGAGGCATGCGTTTATAAATGATTGTATTTTCTTCTTATTTATAGCAGTTATTCTCCATGTCTCGGCTCCATAGAGTAAAACATATTTTACTAGTGTGTTGACGATCCGGATTTTTATTCCAATGGTTAAATCTCCAGAACCCCAAACATTTTTTAGTTGATTGAAGACTGCTCTTGCCTTGCCCATCCTTATTTTTATGTCTGCTTCTGTCCCACCCTGCTTATCAACAATGCTTCCAACGTAGGTGAATCTATCCATTTCTTCTAGGGCGTCTTCTGCCAGTGTTATAGGGTTGTTGTTTGATGCATTGACTTTGAGAACTTTAGGTTTCCCTCTGTAGATGTTCTGGCCAAGGGATGTAGAAAGATTAGCAACCCTGTTGGTTTTATCCTGCATTTGCTGTTGTGTGAGAAAGAAGGGCCAGGTCGTCAGCAAAGTCCAGGTCATCCAGCTGGCTCCACAGTGTCCACTGCATACCGTTTCGCGTTTTCTCTGTTGACATCTTCATAATCCAGTCTATGGCTAGCAGGAACAGGAATGGTGAAAGTAGGCAACCCTGCCTTACTCCAGTCCGTACTGGGAAGGCCTCTGTAGTCTGTTGGCCATGCACTACTCTACATTTCAGACCTTCATATCAAGACATAATAATGTTGACTATTTTCTGTGGCAACCTGTAGTGTCTCAACAATTTCCACATTGACTGTCTATCCAGGCTATCAAAGGACTTCTCATAATCTATGAAATTAATATAGAGAGATGAGTTCCACTCTTGGGTCTGTTCAACGATGATGCGCAGGGTAGCAATTTGGTCTACGCAGGACCTTTCCTTCCTAAAGCCCGCCTGTTGATCTCGAAGCTGGGGATCTATCACTTCCTTTATTCTGTTTAATAATATTCTGTTGAAGACTTTGCACTGGATGGTTAAGATGTTAATATTTGACTTTGTTTTCTTAAAGTCTTGCCAGAAGTGAGCAGCTACCCCAATGGTGCACCTGTGGCCAGTTGCTTCACGATGATGCCCAAACACAGCGGTACGCAGAGCCAGCTGGACAGAAGTTTCTTCCAAGTCACAACTTCATCCAACAGCTACACGCCAGGGCAGAAGATTAGAGGTAACTTATGACTTATGGTGGGGGGGATAGATGTATTCTAGAGGTAACTTATGTCTTATGGTTGTGTGGGAAAGATGTATTCTAGAGGTAACTTATGTCTTATGGTTGTGTGGGAAAGATGTATGCTAGAGGTAACTTATGACTTATGGTTGTGTGGGAAAGATGTATGCTAGAGGTAACTTATGTTTTATGGTTGTTTCGGATAGATGTATGCTAGAGGTAACTTATGTCTTATGGTTGTGTGGGAAAGATTTTTTGGTTCATTGTTTGTATTCATCGTCTCAATTTATTTTAAGTTTATAAAGTCTGAAAGTATACTCTTTTCTTAACATGAAAATTTATATATGTGTATGTGTATGTGTAGGCGTGTGCGTATGCGTGTATGTGTATGTGTATGTGTATGTGTGTATGTGTATGTGTATGTGTATGTGTATGTGTATGTGTATGTGTATGTGTATGTGTATGTGTATGTGTATGTGTATGTGTATGTGTACGTGTACGTGTACATATGTATATGTATATGTATGTGTACGTGTACGTGTACATATGTATATGTATATGTATGTGTACGTGTACGTGTACGTGTACATATGTATATGTATATGTATATGTATGTGTACGTGTACGTGTACGTGTACGTGTACGTGTACATATGTATATGTATATGTATATGTATATGTATATGTATATGTATATGTATATGTATATGTATATGTATATGTATATGTATATGTATATGTATATGTATATGTATATGTATATGTATATGTATATGTATATGTATATGTATATGTATATGTATATGTATATGTATATGTATATGTATATGTATATGTATATGTATATGTATATGTATATGTATATGTATATGTATATGTATATGTATATGTATATGTATATGTATATGTATATGTATATGTATATGTATATGTATATGTATATGTATATGTATATGTATATGTATATGTATATGTATATGTATATGTATATGTATATGTATATGTATATGTATATGTATATGTATATGTATATGTATATGTATATGTATATGTATATGTATATGTATATGTATATGTATATGTATATGTATATGTATATGTATATGTATATGTATATGTATATGTATATGTATATGAAACTGTATGAAGTTTTTGAGAATAGGCCTACTGTTGGAGATTTTTCTACGAAAAAAAAAATTTAAGTTCGCAGGGATGGCGGCCCGGCAGGGCGCGATAAACTTTTTCTACTTTGAATTTTTCAAAAGTCTATAACTTGATTACTATTTCAGATAGATAAATGAAATTTCACATATAAGTATAAGATCTAATTCTCTGCCTTCTATCAAATTATGAGTAATTTCTGTTGACCGGAAGTAATTTTCGCTATTTCCGATTTTTCAAAATTTATTAAGTGCTAATAATATTCAGCACTATAATGCACATTTTATTTTGGGTTCACTTGGTGTGCAATTCTTTTTTCTACGATATTTAATTCTATTTTAAAACGTGTAAGTATTTAAAATGGATTAAAAATCATGTCTATATCCCGAGTTGCCATCCCCTGTAGTTTTATATAAGAACTAGACTACCCGTTATCTAGTTAGATAACTGTAGGTTACGATGGTCATCCATAAATGACATCACGTCTGTCACTTATCATCACAAAAAAACCAGACCCCACATTCAAAAAGATGTTTTTTATCTTTTAAAACACCGATTTCGGACTATCCCTTCATATACTGACGTCACAGGTGACCTACTCAACTCTACTTCACCTGCACAGTGTCCCGCCAAGTCTCAGACAACATGTTTTTATCGTTTAAAAAAACGATTCCAGCCGAGCATGTATCTGACCACACTATCCCTTCATATGCTTAGGACAAAGAAACAGATAAACTCTACCTTACCTTCCATGTATCCCGCCAAGTTCAGATAGGCAACTTTATCATTCACATCTCAAAAATAAAAAAATTGAAAAAAAAAAATTTAACATTGACGTGTCTAGAACCTATGCCACCCGCATGAAAGCCGATTACACTAACAACTTAGCTATTTAACTCGTGACGTCATTTATGCTTTTTTTATAGTATAGTTTAATACTTTGAGTCTCCTTATGCAACTTGATTTACGCGCATAGATCTAGATCTAAGTCTAGTAGTAGTAACTTTCAAATTAAATTTTATCTTAAATTAGCCAATTACATAGCAAAACAAAGATTTATATAAAATAATGAAGGTTTGAAATTATCTAGATTTAGATTCTACGACTCATTTGCTTAAGTCTTAAGTCTAGTTTTGCGTAACTCTTGCTAGATCTAGACCTAGATCTAATCATTAGACCTATTCTAGCTAGATAGATCGATTATTGTAAAACTAAATGAAAAAGACAGTTGAAAATTTATAGAAGTGTTGGAACGTAATAAAAACAGCAAACGGACGTATTGTTAAAGTTATGGCCGACAGAAAATTAGCTTTAGAACGCGTTAAACTTTTGAATGGGCCTATGATGGAAGCCGCCATTTTATTGTACTAAAAAGTAAACACGTCATGTGACGTCACTATTCAGTCAAGGTAAAGCCATTTTTTTTTTAAATTTGAAATTAATGTGGTTAATCTACCAATGAATAAATCAATAAATTAATTAACTTCTTTAAATAAATTTGTGATTAACAGTCTGTCTGAAAACAAAAATTGTTCTCTACCTACATACTATTTTACAGTTCGCCATATAGCGTACATCCTCTACAGTAGTCAATCAGACAAACAAACAAATGAATATTCAAACATGTAAACAAACTTGAGTTTTAGTAGTATACTAGACTACCCGTTATCTAGTTAGCTAACTGTGGGTTTCGGGGGTCATCCATAAATGACATCACGTCTGTCACTAATCATCACAAAATAACCAGACCCCACATTCAAAAAGACTTTTTTTATCCTTTAAAAACACACTATCCCTTCATATACTGACGTCACAGGTGACATTTAAAAAGTTCTATTTAATTTTAATGACGCCGACTTCAAAATTTAGCCTTCATTCTCCAAAGCAAATTTTAAAATGCTTTTCTGGCATATCTAGACCTGGCCACCTATAGCATGTTTATATAACGTGAAAACCCGCCATTTTGCTCGTGGTAAACATAGCCTAAAAATAGTCGGAAGTCATGCGTCCGGTCCGGACGCCATTGTTGTTAGCAACCGACCACGCCTCCAATAAAGCGAGTAATCCTACTATATCTAGCTCTAGAACCTAGATAGATAAATCCGATGTATTCTCGAATTAGATGTTCATTGAAGCTAAACAAAGATTTATATAAAATAAGGCATGAAATAGATTCTAGATGTAGAATTTGCATTAAGTCTAGATCTAGAATTTACGTAGTCTAGTGACCTTAGATCTAGATCTAAAATCTTGATTTCATAACATGTTCTTCCTTCGACAGCTGATCTGTAGATCTAGAGAAATTTATTGTAAAACTAAATGAAAAAGACAGTTGAAAATTGATTTTAAGTGTTGGAACGTAATAAATACAGCAAACGGATGTATTGTTAAAGTTATAGCCGACAGAAAATTAGCTTTAGAAAGCGTTAAACTTTGGAATGGGAACAAAATCTTCTTCGATAGAAGCCGCCATTTTATAGAGTCCTTGCAAACACGTGACCTAAATCACGTGATACCTACGCCCGCCGCCACAGTGGTGTACATCAGACGTAAACACAATCAGCTGTTCGCCAGCGCTGGACGTGTTCACCAGCGCTGGACGTGTTCACTGTATGTAAAGAACCGCACCCGCGGAAAAGGAAAAATATGTTTAAAAACTTGAACTCTTAGGAATTGAAGATCATTATACAGTTATTGACAGTTTCGTGGATAATATAAATATGTGGCCGAAATTTCTAAATAAAAATACTGTTAGTAATACCGTTTGCGTTTAGAGTTTAAGTAGACGAAGCTGATCAAATGCAGTAATATATTATAGGTTATCTACTGTAGCAAACGTGAGACCACTTAACTCCTACAAAACCCACACTACAACGGCTAATATGTATAGTCCATGGGTAATAACCAATCTGGGTAGCATGTTATACAATTTAAGACCCTTATAATCCAGCAGGGAAGTAATCAGACACATTAATACTGACGTTCAACCCTCATGATGGCTGCCCCCACCTGTATCTAGCCCACAATAAAACCTAAGAGGAGTCTGCCCTGCCCTCCCCTGAAAATGTCTCACCTCCGTGATACCCAGCCCCACAGAGATAGTATTTCTTATATAATTTTGACCCTCAGGGTCCAGCAGGGAGAACAAAGGGGAAAGTCCCACTGCTCTCCCCTCAACACTTCTCACCTCGGTGTCATGTTATGTCATTTATAGCACACATCGCTTATCAGGAGAAAGCATTAAGGCATTAAGAATCTTAACTCTGGACAGCTACACACTAGTATACTAACTACACACTAGGTGCCTACTGTAAACTACTAGACTGTAGGCCCTATGTAGACCTGCAATTGTATCAATTGTAGACTGGGTCCATTGTTATTATTCTAAACCATCTCACTTATAATGTTTCTAGCTTGATTTGTTTCTTTTATAAACAGTGTATTTTTAAAAAAAAATTAGCCTAATCATTAACCAAATAATAATAATGTGGTTATTTGTTGTTGGCTGGTATGATCTAGATTGTACTACTAGGCTACAAAAACTTAGTAGACCAATTACTAGATATGAATTTGAATTTAATTAAACTCAGTCCAGTATCAGATACATATTGCTGTAAAAAGACAACAAAGTAGGTAGGCCTTAGTAATTTATTAAAGCCTTCTACTACAGTAATATCAACTACATGCTTGTATAAAGTTTTTACAATTTAATTTAAGTAGCAGATTCTAGATCTAAGTCTAGTCATACAATCCATTTCAATTTCAGAAAATTTCGTTTGCTAAAAAAATGATTAGATAATAGAGCGAGATTTTAGATCTTAGAGACAATTAAATGCTTTATTAGGCCTATTATGACTACTTTTGATTTATTATGGGTGTATTTTGAATCGAATGTAGATCTAAAGTAATTAAATTTAAGTAAAGAAGTAGATGCTAGATTCTATGTCTACCCAGCGGAGCCAGGTATTAGGCCTACTATTAGATCTTATTATTCTTATTATTACTTTTGACTTTGTCTTTTACTATTAGTATTTGTGAAGGTCGAGCATGTTTGTTTTATTAGTAGTTATCTTTTATAATTAAAATGAAGTTTATTATTTTACTGTCCTTACCTGAAACAAAGTATCGAGAACTGCATTTGATCAGATTCGGCTACTTTAACTCTAAACGCAAACAGTATTACTAACAGTATTTTTATTTAGAAATTTTGTCCACATATTTATTTATACGAAACTGTCAATAACAGTATAAGGATCAAGAGTTAGTTTTTTAACGTATTTTTCCTTTTCCGCGGGCGCGATTCTTTACATACGGTGAACACGTCCAGCGCTGGCGAACACGTCCAGCGCTGGCGAACAGCTGATTGTGTTTACGTCTGATGTACACCACTGTGGCGGCGGGCGTAGGTATCACGTGATTTAGGTCACGTGTTTGCAAGGACTCTATAAAATGGCAGTATCACGAACGGACGTGACGTCATATGAAAGGACTCTATTGTACTAAAAAGTAAATAAAAAATGTGACGTCACTATTCCGTCAAGCCAAGTCGTTTTTCTAATCTTTTAAAATTAATGTGGTTAATCTACCTATGAATAAATCAATAAATTAATTAACGTCTTTAAATAAATTTGTGATTAACAGTCTGTCTGAAAACAAAAATTGTTCTCTACCTACATACTATTTTACAGCTCTCCACTTAGCGCCGATTTTCTCCAGTATTCAATCAGACAAACAAAAAAAAACAAATAAATATTCAAACATGTAAACAAACTAGAGTTTTAGTAGTATATAGATAGATAGAAGATAGATTGATAGATATTCGAGAAAGTGTAGGGGAGATCACTCCCGGTTTATTTTAATATGAGAAATTGCTGTATAAAAAACAACCCCTAACCCTTCTCGATTCCTAGACCACATAATCCGTTTTGACATAACCAAGTTTGTTATACATTCTGTGTATAATTGACTAGTAAATTCTGCTCTAGTGAATGTCACAACGAACAACGCCATGGAATTTAAAGGCATCCAAATTCGGGCTCGGAGAGCGGATCTCAACTCAGAGGAGTTTATCGGAACTTTCGACATTCTGGGCAACACAAACAAACTGACATATGTGCGGTGTCAAGACATGCCACAGGTTGGTCAATACGGCAGTTAGGGGGTTAATAGGTGGGGGAGAGGTATCATGTCAATTCATCTCACATTCTATTTAGAAAATTATTAAACACAATAACAATAGGGTAAACAAAGAAATGCACTCAATCATTTAGAACTTGTTGTAACCGTTTCTATTAATATAGGACAGTAAATATTATTATACGAGAGTATTATTTAGGTTATGCCATTTCTTTTCCTTTCTTTTTGTTTTTTGACAATTTATTTATACATTATACAAAATATTCAATTTCATTTGATTGTAATTTATAACCATTAATCCGAATCTATTCTCCACAGAGTATGGTAACCCATAGCAACAATAGCACGGTCTCCTATGTTTTGGTTGATTGGTCAGTTAATCAAAACGTTGGACCAATTGTATTTGAGTAAGACTCGCCTTTTAAATTTGCCGACAAATATATGATGTCAACATTGTGGTTTAGTGACGTCAACATTGTGGGTTAGTGACGTCAACATTGTAGGTTAGTGACGTCAACATTGTGGGTTAGTGACGTCTACATTGTGGGTTAGTCACGTCTACATTGTGGGTTAGTGACGTCAACATTGTAGGTTAGTGACGTCAACATTGTAGGTTAGTGAAGTGTCAACATTGTAGGTTAGTGAAGTCAACACTATTGAATTGATGGCCTGTATCATAATCAATGTAAGCCCTGCTAGGGGGGGGGGATACCTTAAAATCTACCCTTCTAGGCTTATCTAACTAACTACTGTCCGGTCAGTGCAAGCCCGGATAAACCCAGACTGGTTAATAACCTAACCTTAGTCTAAATAATAAAACTACTAAAAATAAAACAAAAACTTAAACAATATAATAACATTTCTTTAACAAAATAAATATGGAACCAAGCTTATAAACAAACTAGAATTTAGGTAAAACAGAACACTGGAGACATACAAAACAGAAACAGAACTCAACGGAACAAAACACCCAATTTCGGACCACCGTCCTAAAGAAGAAAAATAGACAAATCAATTCAAAATGTAAAAACAGTTATACACAAGGCACTAAGAAGTTGACACAATTGAAAATAAAATGGATATTGTACAAAATGAACTTTCAAATAAAAGTAGTACAAAGAACACACTTAAACGTAAATATCAGGTCACTGAGCATAAAACTACTAGTTCAGTGCACACAATAATCAGCCTCAACAAGAGGTTCTCATAAAATATATAAGTAAAATCTAGAGATAGATTCTAGATTCTCTAGATCCATGACTAAAATTTAAACCCAGACCACCATACTACCACGTGGTCTAGATACATCAACCATTGAGATTTCTCAAAGTCGAAGAAACTAAATAGTATGTAGTCACTTCGTATATAAAATAAGAAAACCATTCAAAGGAAACCATAATAAAACAGTATAAAAATAGCTCTACGTTACCATACACCATATAAATGTGTTACAGAAACACTTAACACACAGGCCTCGACATTCCCGCTGAATGTCCCTCCCATTTTTGGAGTAAATTCAGATGATATATTCGAGAGAGAACCCTTATTTTTGACATTAACCCTAACCCTAAACCTTATTGTTGACATTAACCCTAACCCTAACCCTTATTTTTGACATTATCCTAACCCTAACTCTAACCCTAACTCTAACCCTAACCCTAGCCCTAACCATAATCCTAACCCTAACGCTAAGTCGGGCGTCACCCGGTGCGGCAATACATGGCGTCACCCCCACCAAGACAAAAATTATACTATATTATATATATATATATATATATATATATATATATATATATATATATATATATATATATATATATATATATAGTCACCAAAAAATCTAATTCTAATCTAAAAGACCTAACAGTACTGATAATTATGTACTAAAATCAGTATCCAGAAAAAAAAGGAAAATACAGAAAAAACTTTCAAACATCTCACGCATAAGCCTGCCACGATTTCAAAAGGTTTCGAACTTAATTGAAGTCTCGCAGCTGAACACTTCATTCAATACACATAGAAAATAGTTCTTAACAGAACGATAATTAAAGATACGATAGAAAGCATCAATTGAGACCATCCAATACAATAAGATTAACAATCATAACAAGCGTTCAAACAAAACATTCACAAACCATTACAATATGTGAAAACATAAAAAAAAATGCTGGAGAGGCTTAACTTTAACATAATAAAATAATAATAATTAATACAATCACCGCCCTCTACCAGAAACTTAAGTCACAGTTTCTTTTCATCCCAGCTATAACATTATACTCTGCTACTAAAATAATAAATACATTAACACCATCAGTAGAGTACGCGGGGGGAAGGTGGGGGGAGCCGGGGGGGGGGGTGCCCCTCCCCCACTTTATGGACAGTTGCGCCTTTTTCAGAGATTTATTAAATAAAATTAAAAACAAGTTTTTCGGAGGCACGAGCAAGGCGCTTTTCGTCACAATGTCAATCTACGCTAGCGTATGTAAATCAGCTGTTTGTCACCATGACAACCCACGCTAGCGCCTGTAAATCAGCTGTTTGTCACCATGACAACTCACGCTAGCGCCTGTACATCAGCTGTTTGTGTTCTTCTAGCTGGGTATGGACAGTCAACCACCCACACATCGATCTGATTCACAAGTGTAGCCTTTGCTTGAGTTATCAGGCTCGATTCAGCCATCCATCTTTTATACTTGAGGCCTATTATTTTCTGGTTTTAAGATCAGTTTGGAGACGTAGGGCAATTGTTTACGTAAAGCGTACCCCGTAGAATACGTTTCTACTTATCTTTGATATTTTAGCACTAGCAGGAAGTGAAATTGCAGGTCCCCTTTATGTCAACTGATATAGAACATTTCCCAAAGGCATCTTTTACTACAGATACACGTATTTTTGGGTGGAATGTGTTAAAAATCTGAATCAATTTTCTAACAAACACATTCTCACACAACTTCAAAAACGTCAGTATGAGTCAAGGTGATCAGCTGTACAGATGTACTAAACGAACATATGGTTAAATACCTCGGGTAAACTTAGTTAAAACAATACAAAAATACTGTAGATAGGAGTAAAACTGCCTCCAAAAGATGAATAACCAAAATTCAGAAATAGAAAAAAACTATAGTTTAAAAAAATCACAATTAGAATTATAGATTTTGAAACAGGTAAAACGGAGAATATTGTTTTTGCAATCACAACTAAAGAGGCGTGTGAGCAATACAGAGATCTAACCCACACCTAATTATCATGTTAAAAATAATTAAAGAACACAAAAGGCAGTAGCTAATTAAAAACTATAATGATCTGAGAGGCAATTTGATTTGAAAGAAATGAATTATGATAGTTATTAAAATGATCAATTACTTTTAGATTATGATAGTAGTGAAATACAAATTACGCTTATATATTCTCTTCGCTATCACATACATTCTTTATGCTTTGAAATTTTAGCATTTATAGCAATAAAATATTTAAGTTTGAATTAAGACAGTCGTTTATAAAACGAATTCTAGTAGCTTATTATACTAAATAAAATAAAATAGATGATTGACCTCGATGAATTTAAAAAAATATAATTAAATTTGTAGTCCTATATATATATATATATATATATATATATATATATATATATATATATATATATATATATATATATATATATATATATATATATATTAATTGAGTGATTATTTCCCCTGCAATGGTTTCCTTGCCTTGTCTTAATATTCGTAGTGAGGTCGGGTGTCACCCGGTGCTGCACTTAATGGCATCACCAATTTTCGATTTGCACCCCCCTCCAATTTTTTATTTCCACCCCCCCTCAAATTTTCGATTTGCACCCCCCTCTCGAACTTTCGATTTGCACCCCCCCCCCTAAAGTTTTTCTCTATATATTTTACTATTTTTTGCCTTGGTGTCATCCCCCTAAATGGTGCCACCCGGTGCGGTCCGCACCCCCACGCCCCCCCCTCGCTACGCCTCTGCCCTAACCCTACACCGTAGCGAAGCTACGTCATACAGCTAGTGTGTATACATCATATATATATATATATATATATATATATATATATATATATATATATATATATATATATATATATATATATATATATATATATATATATATATATATATATATATATATATATATATATATATATATATATATATATATATATATATATATATATATATATATATATATATATATATATGGTGCCTTTTGGTCGACATGCCGCTCCCCTTAACCCAAAAACCTGCGAACGCCTCTGAACACCACAGTTACTCACAATATTCATTGCTCTATTTAGTCCTAGATATTTAAACTGCATGTATAGGCGCTAATTAATCAATGCTCTAATTAGTTATGGATGAAATGACTCTATTTTTCAGCGTGACAGTAGTGAAAAGCTATTTGTACATTTATTTTGGCATCAAATCAGCAGTGATAAACCCAGCAGGCACGGGGCCTTTTGTGCAGCCTGTTGTTCATGTAAGAGTTATAGAGTATGTGTGTTTGTGTGTTGGTGTGTATGTTTGTGTGCGGGTGTGTCTGTGTGTGTCTGTGGGAGTGGGGTGGTTGGGTTCACAAGGCTGAGAGAAAGATACAAAATGAGCGACTGATATGGGTTAGCATATTCACGTGACTTGTTTTTTTTAGGCGTCGTCTGTCTCGCCTTTGGTGAGCCCTATAGACTGGGGTTTGTGCGGGAAATCCAAGGGCTGTCTGCTCTACCCCCGCTACTGCACTGGAGGGGACTGCAAGGCGGGGGTGAGCTTCTACGTCAACGGATCCACTGTGAACTTTGAACTTATGGCTAAAGCTGATGGCTACGTATCATTGGGCTTTTCTGACGACATGATTATGGTAGTTATTACTCTAATCCTAACCCTGCACTGCCGTTTTAATCTATAGTTTCTTGCAATTTACAACAAAAAAAAAATTAATAATTTTTTGTTAATGAACATTAATGAACATTTTTTTTCATGAAAGGGAAACGACCAAACTATAAGTTGCGCTACGTTGTTTGACCGAGTTAGCATTCAACACGGATTCAATCACCTCCAGAAATACAACAGCAGAGAACTTAAGGTCAGCGGTGCAGTAGAAAATTTAAACAAATTATTAAGTCGGCCGCCACAAAATTCATTGGTATAAACTAATAAAATGATAAAAAAACATTGAATATAGTTATGTTAAGTACAAACGTTATACCGTGATGTAAAATATAAACTAAATACATTGATGCCTCAGATAATCCTCTATGAAACCCGCCCATCACAAAATGTAAAGGTTTACCATAAAAAATAAACCGGGGGTGATCTCCCCTAAACTTTCTCGAATATCTATAATAAAAGCGGGCTGAGCGTGTCAGTCCTTCCTTCCGTCCTTCCTTCTGTCATCGCTATAGCTTTTGGAACCATAAAAGTAAATATCGCACCATGCAGCGCTTTTCAGTGCGTCGCAGCGTCTTATTATAAGTTTGTTTATATAACGACATAAAGTTATTTTATAATTGCCACTGTATTTACTCTTTTGCATAACGTAAAGAAAATATTAAATACACGAAAATTGCTAAAACATATTAAAAAGATTAATGTCAAATATCATTTTCGTTTATATTCCTAGAAAAAGTGGATATATTTTAATAACATAATAACAGGAGGGTAGAAAAATCTAATTAATTGAACTTTTTTTTTCTAATTTTGACAAGGGAATGTAATTAATACTAATAGTTTCGCTGTCTGTCTATCTGTGTATGTATCTATCTGACAAGAACGCTATAGAGAAAACACAAGCAACTTAAAAACATGCATAGTTAAACGAAAACGAAATATGACGTCACATTGGAGCATATAGTAGAAAATAGTATCAAGCCGGAGAGTGCACACAGTAATATGACGTCATTGATTCTCGAGTAAACATTGAATTAAAAAGCCAATTTTGTCTAATCTTAATTTAATGATCTACAAATGCAACCAATGTTTCTTTCAGACTTTTTCCTCCCCGGAGAGGGGTGGGGTTACTTGAAATTTTCGGGGGCGGGGGTAGAATTTTCTGATAGGGGGCGAACACTGGAAAAAGTATATAATTATATTTCGTTGAATGGGACGGTAGACATGTTTTAAGGTGTGTGTGGGCGGGGGGGGGGGGGGTGGTTTTAGTTTAGAGAAAATTGACAGCACTATCAACCTAGCGCCTGTTGTATCCTTCCTCAACGGGCCATTTTTCTCGTTAATACTAATAGTTTCGCTGTCTGTCTATCTATGTATCTATCTGTCTGACAAGAACGCTCAAGAGAAAACACAAGCAAATTAAAAACTTTCACAGTAAGACGGAAACGAAATATGACGTGACATTTAGCATATGGTAGAAAATAGTATCAAGCCAGAGAGTGCACACAATAATATGACGTCATTGATTCTCGAGTAAACATTGAATTAAAAAGCCAATGTTGTCTAATCTTAGGAGTGGTTTGCGTGAAGAGTTTCTTTCATACAATTCTTCGGTTAGTGGCGAAGCCCTCCCTCCGGTAGAACATCTAAGCCGCCTTCCCTTCCCCCCCCCCCAACCCAACTCAAAAGATATGACGTCATCGATACTCTATAATAAAAAGGACTGACATTACGGCATAATTAAAGTGTATAAACTTAAAAGTCTTTTGCATTTAGAGTTTCTTTCATAGAATTTTTCGGGTAGTGGCTAAGCGCGACACCAGTTTTTCTTTCAGACTTTTTCCTCCGAGGAGAGGGGAACTTTAAATTTGCTAATCTAAATAGTGTTATGCGTGCACATTATCTACCGTTAGTTTGTATGATCTACAAATGCGACCAGTGTTTCTTTCAGACTTTTTCCTCGCCGGAGAGGGGTGGGGTTACTTGAATTTTTTAGGGGGGCGGGGGTTGAATTTTTCTGGGATGGTGCAGACACTGGAAAAAAGTATATAATTATATTTCGTTGAATGGGACGGTAGACATGTTTTGGGGTGTGGCGGGGGGGGGGGGGGGGGAGGGGGGAGGGCGGAGCCCCCTCCTCCCAAGTAGAGTTGCCTGAAAGAAACTCTAAATGCGTTTTTGTCACGAATGAGATTAGGTGCATGGTTTAGGGATATGCCTATGGCTATATTTTGTATAAATTAAAGTACCGATTCTGGATAAAAATCCGTTTTCAATGTCATTTTTCGTTTCCGGTTAAATTTAATTAAGGTGGTGATTTTGGTTTTGGCTTTAGTTTAGAGAAAATAGACAGCACTATTAACCTAGCGCCCGTTGTATCCTTCCTCAACGGGCCATTTTTCGCGTTTAAAAATAAATTTAACTCAGGCTAATTAAAAAAATGTGAATGCAAATCTACGGGCGACCTAGAAGGAATTAGTGTTGCAATAATATAATTAGCAAAATGTGAATGCAAATTTTGCGGATGTGGAAGAGGAAATTATTGTTAGAAAATTATAATTAGCATGGATTGATAAAAGGCAATCTTTTATTTATTCTATTCACTGATTGTACTGTTTACTACTTCTAATTTTTAATAAACTATTCCGCACTATTATAGACGCGTCATCACGTTCATTGGGTGCGCAATGGTTTTAGTTATGAAACTCCATTGTAAATTTTTAAAATTTAAAGTACTGGAAAAAAATGCGTGAATTGATAAAGTGATATATGGTAGGTAAACCACGGATATTTTAAATATAGCCTGCTATTTATTGTATATTATTTATTATTATTCTATCCATTTTTACTTTCTCGTATATACGAAATATATAGAAAGTCTTGTAATCGTGAAAAAAAAAATCGAGATTTTTTGCAAATCTCGACGTTTTACAGCTCCCTGAGTCGGAAAAACATAGTATTGCAATCTTGTCCGTTTGTCTGTGTATGTGTGTGTGTGTGTGTTGGTGTGTCTGTAAACACGATAACTTGAGTACCGTTACAGCTAGGTTGATGAAATTTCATATATAAGTATTATATCAAATTTGTAGATTCGTATACACTTTTCAGCAATTTCCGATAACCGGAAGTGGAACTTTTTTTTGCACGATTACAATACTTTCTCTATACTATGTATACGAGAAAGTAATCACCAGCTGTGACGTCTCCAGATCTCGGTGTATGGAAAAGCATAGAAAACATAAACAGGCGCTTTATTTTGAACAAATTATACATATATATATATATATATATATATATATATATATATATATATATATATATATATATATATATGTAACATAGTGTAATCACTAGTACTTGCTTTGAGACGCTAGACGGGCACACATATCAAGTGAAAAAGTACACTCTGAATTACAGGTTCAAATTAAATCACTTTATTAATCGAAATAAAAGGCATATTCCACAAAAGGATAACATCAATGTTCCATATAAGAATAATATACAATCCACCAACAGACCTCCAACGTCACAAGTCCACACGAATTACAAGTTCCCTTGACGTTTCAAATCTTGTCCTGCTGTCTCTTCTATTGTTGAGCCCTAACCCTAACCCCGACCTTCAGTCGCTGGCCTTGTTAATGTTATTGAGTTTTGATTAGGAGTAAAGTTCTATTTTTAGTCAAACTATTCTATTTTAGTCACACGAGCTGCGTAACACCAACTTGTTTATATAGCAGTTACATAAGAACTCAGTTCAGGTTTGGCCTTGACCTTGTCCTTGTTGACAGACTAGTTAGTAACTTTCCACAATATGGAAGGTAACATTATTACATTATTCAGTGTTTCTTCCAGACTTTTTTTCCCCGGGGGGGGGGGGGGGTGTGGGGGGGGGGGTGGGGGGGGGGGGCACTTGATATTTTCGGGGGATCGGACAACATTTTCCGGGGGCGGGGGGGTGGTAGACAGTGGTGAAAGTGTATGTTTCCATAAATTCTATTTCGTTTGGGGGGGGGGGGGGGGGGCGGTAGACTTTCTTCGGGGGTGCTAATATTTTGGACTAAGAGACTCATGCTTTTCTTTATAGTAATTATAATAGTAATGCATTACTTAAATAAAATAATTTATTTTCTCCTTTTTAGCGCATTATTACATACAAGATTGTTATTAAAACGTTTTTTTATGCATTTCTTCAATACTTTAAAATTTTAACGTAATAGAATTGAATGACTAAAAGCAATTAAGCACCTAATGAACTTAAACAATGTGCGTATGATAGCTCGGAAAATATAGGATATTTAAATTAATTATTTGAAAATTAATGATTGAAAAGTTGTTTCCAAATGATGCCAAATGTTTGTTGCCAGAAAGCATATTTTTCAACGAAAAATTGAATATTTTATAACATTTGTTTAATGAGGACAAATGACTTCCGGTTTTATTAAGGATAGAAAAAGTCAAACAAATAATAACAAGTAATATAATAGTAATTTAGCTAACACTTTTATTTTTAATTTGTATTATTAGAGTCTTGGTGTTGTGGTGATAGGGGATGTTATATTTCTAAATATAAAAACAATACTAGACTATACATCATAGACCACCATTGTGTAATTTATCATGGAAAAAAAATTGCTGTAACTTTTATTGTTTTACTCTCCCTGGCCATTCCGGTTGACTTCAAATATAAGTAAAGGGCGATTTTAAAAAAAAATATTTGAATTAATAAAATAATGAACGGCTTTTCAACAAAAATGTGAAAATGAGAGTAATCGATTGTTCTCAAACAGCTTTAAGTTTTTAAAATTTTACTATAATTTGATCTCTTGTCAAATTTTTAAAAATATTTTTTTTGTTTAAATTTAGTATGATTACATAGAATTTTCATGCTTATTAAGCATCAAATTAAGTCAAATTTGATGTCACATTGCATTTTTATCGAATTTCGACCCACGTGCCTAATTTGAAAGAAATTGGTCGTTTAGAAGTGGTCGAAATTTTGGATTGTCACCATTCACCCATTTCGGACGAAGCAATGCACACACATGCAAAAGTGTATATGCAGTAGAAAGGAAGTTAAATAAAAGCTTGTAGAAATGAGAGGCTTGTCACAAGCTTCTATATTTCTACTAGCCGTCGGTACCCGTTACACGTGAATTATAGGTCTATATATTTTTAATGTTATACATTTTTTAGAAGAATATTTTATAAAATAGTTATTGGTCAAAACGCAATTTGCTTTACTACAGGTTTAACGATATTAGTGACAAATCAAAGAAATAACTAAATAGCTAAAAGTCCGACACATTAAAAATAGCATAGGCTACTAACAGAGGCGTAGCTAAAGAAATTATTTGAAAGCTCATTTTAAGTATCGAATTATACACTGTCAAAGCTACAAAAATAAACGACTACAAGGCTTTACACACTGATTTAGCAACTTTATGGCACCGAAATAGAAAATGTTTCAGGATTGTAACTGGTAAGAAGCGCCACAAACCTTTTTAACTGGGGGGGGGGTGCTTTTTCACAGACAGGAATAACTATATATAGAAATGGGGTGGGGGTTCAAAATTGATAGTCCAACCCGGGCGCCGTTTTAGGTCGCTAAGCCTCTGGCTACTAATACCTATTTGAAAAAATAAAACCAAATTATATATATAATTAGTCGACACAACACAATATTAAATGCACACATTGACTAAAAGACAAATGATTCCGTTAAAACCCGGCTTTTCAATGCTATTTATGTTGTTTTTTAAAGTAGTTTGTATTAGCTTTGGCCGAGGAAATTGTATACATTTCATAAATTACGTCTCGATAAGTAAATCTATAGATCTAAATCAAATTTTAATGAAATAGTTAATTTCTTCGTTTTCTAAAATTGGAAGATGACGCCATTGGTTTCGTGTACTTTTCGTACTTCAAACATATAACATGTGACGTCATCGATTTCGGCGTTCTTGTTCCAACTATAACACGGCGTTCTTGTTCCAACTATAAACACCTTTCGTGTTGCATAATTAAAACTGTTTTTCTACTTTCGAATATGCCTTTATTTTTCATTTTTAAATAAAATTTTGTTTATACATTTAAAACATCTACCATATTATTTTCAACAAAAGTCCGTAACAAGTTCTCCGTATATCGCTGAAGATTCTGATGTGATATCCTGCGAAAATATTTTGCGGACAGAGAGAAAGAAGTGCGCACAAGGGCTTTTAAATATTAGGATAGAGTGATTGCACTGTCCTATCCCAACCCTTATTGTTATAAAGAATTATAGGGGAGATCACTCACGTTATATTTTACTGAATAATAAAACATTTTGTTCCAGAATAATCTTACACTTCTTGAAGCAGCAAAAATCAATGGCAGAATTTGTTGTCGCTTCTCTCGTCCTGTGACCATGGCAATGGATGTGGCCGTTGATGAGTCAGAGGACGGTGCAACCAAAAAGTTGACCTTTAACCTTAACAACAAACATTATTTGTTTATTGCATGGGGAAAAGTATACACCTGTAAGTTGAATGGCTACTTTTTACACCTGTAAGTTGAATGGCTACTTTTTACACCTGTAAGTTGAATGGCTACATTTTACACCTGTGAGTTGAATGGCTACTTTTTACAACTGTAAGTTAAATGGCTACTTTTTACACCTGTAAGTTGAATGGCAACTTTTAACACCTGTAAGTTGAATGGCTGTTGGGTTAGGGTTAGGGGCTACTTGGTTTTATGTTGCATATTCTCATAACCAGGCAGCATACGGGTATAAAATGCGAGTATTGGATAATGAGTTCAGTGAGACAAATTACAATGTTTAAAAAACTAGAATATCATTTATGATTTATGAAATGTACGAAAACAATATTTTGTTTGTTCAGGCATATGACTAATATCAGTGCAAGTATATGACTAAATATAAGTTTAAGCATATGAGTAAATATAAGTTTAAAGTACTTTCAAATGTGTACATGAGCGTACCAAGTACTTTCAAATGTGTACATGAGCGTACCAAGTACTTTCAAATGTGTACATGAGCGTACCAAGTACTTTCAAATGTGTACATAAGCGTACCAAGTACTTTCAAATGCGTACATGGTATTACCTATTTCTTTCAAATGCGTGAATTAGGTTACCAAGTACTTTAAAAGCTTTTCTTCCAATTTATCGACACCCTAGTAAGATGTGGGGGCTATCGCAACCCAATCCTAGTTACGCCTCTGCTAAATGATAGGAGAAAAGGCTGACTGCTGTTATTTTAAAATAAATTTCTCTTTCAGTGACTGATGTTCTGGGTTACCACACTGAAATGCCTGTGATCTCGGAGACTGAAATAAATTTCTATGACGTCACCATATACAGGGGAAGTGTCATGCCAAACCTCATCAGGGCCCATGGTAAAAAAAAAATTGCTTGATGCAGCTCCCCCCCCCCCACACACACACATACTTTTGTTTAGATGGAAAAAGTCCAAGGTTCCTAAAATGTCTTAGTTAAACAATGATATTCTAAAATGTATGGTCCTAAACATCACATGTCTTTGTTTTGAAACAGCCTCGCTGATGGCGACGGCATGGATGGGCTTCGCGGGTCTGGCAATTGTTATTGCCAGATTTTATAAAGATGGCTTCCAGGATAAGAAATTTTGTGGAATAAAAATTTGGTTTCATGTAAGTCAATTTGACGTGACTCTAATCTAAACCAAACTTGTCTCAAATATCTGAACAGTTCTAAACTCTACATAACTTAATTTTGATATTACACCGTCTAACCCTAAGCCTAAGAGTAAGGGCGGTGTTCGTATTCTCCATAGAAAAAGCTGGTTCAACTTTTCAAAGACACCATAGGCAACAGTGTTGCTGTAATAAGGCTTGTAAGTCTTGGTCTCTCCCTATTCAAATTCGAAATCTTATTAGCAAGGCAGAGATAAAAAACATTTTGAGTTAAATTAATTGTTTTGAAAATAGTTCCCATTTATTACAGGAAAAAAAAACATGGAGGTTGTATCTTTAAGTAATAATGCACTAAAAGGGAGAAAATAAATGATTTTCTTTGAATATATTATAATACTCTACTATTTTAATAACTTAAAATGAAAGCTTGTTATTAAAACATTTTATGCATTTTTTATTTCTCGTATATTCAAAGTATAGAGAAAGTATAGTAATCGTGCAAAAAAAAAAATGTGTCGAAAATGATAGTTTTGCAATTATGTCCGTGTGTCTGTGTGTGTATGTGTGTGTGTGTCTTTAAACACGATAACTTGAGTACCGTTATAGCTAGGTTAATGAAATTTCATATATAAGTATTATATCAAATTTGTAGATCCGTATCAACTTTTGAGCGACTTCCGATAACCGGAAGTGGAACTTTTTCTACTTTGAATTTTTTAAAAGCCTATAACTTGAGTACCATTTCAGATAGATAAGGAAATTTCACATATAAGTAAATGATCTAATAGTCTGCCTTCTGTCAAATTTTGAGTAATTTCCGTTGACCGGAAGTAGTAATTTAGACCATTTCCGATTTCTTAAAAAACGCATGTGAATTGATAAAGTACTAATAATATTTCGCACTGTTATACACATTTTCTTTGGCGTTCACTTGGTGTGCAATTCTTTTTACTACAAGATTCTATTCTATTTTTAAAAGTTTAAGTAATTAAAAATGGATTTTAAAAATTGTCTATGTCCCGAGTTGCCATCCCCCGTAGTGTTATATAAGATTATTCGAGAAAGTTTAGGGGAGATCACTCCCGGTTTATTACTTTCTTGTATACAGAGTATAGAGGAAGTACTGTAATCGTGCACAAAAATCACATGAAATTTTGACAGTTTTCATCGTTTAACACCTCAGTACTTCATCATACAGTAAGTTGTCTCTTACAGTATGGTGTCTCTTACAGTATGTTGTCTCTTACAGTACGGTGTCTATTACAGTATGTTGTCTCTTACAGTATGTTGTCTCTTACAGTATGGTGTCTCTTACAGTATGTTGTCTCTTACAGTATGTTGTCTCTTACAGTATGTTGTCTCTTACAGTATGTTGTCTCTTACAGTACGGTGTCTATTACAGTATGTTGTCTCTTAGAGTATGTTGTCTCTTACAGTATGGTGTCTCTTACAGTATGTGCTACACATAATATTTATCTTCATGTCATTCCCCCCCCCCCTCTCACTTCCTCTCTCTCAATGACAGTTACACAGGATATCTGCATTCATGACATTTGCACTAACGGTAGCTGGGCTGGTTACTGTCTTGGTCAAGCTAGATGGCCAAATCACTCAGGTCAGTTTAGAATAGTTTTCAGTGTAAAGATCAGGGCTAGAGGTCAGTGTTAAAGGTCAGAGCTAGAGGTCAGTGCTAGAGGTCAGTGTACATTTTCTGGGGAGGGGGCGGAAACTCGTCAAAGTATATTTTCTATATAAATTCTATTTCGTTATAGGGGTTGGTAGACGTGCTTCAGGTGGGGAGAAGGGATTTTGTTATAGGGGTTGGTAGACGTGCTTCAGGTGGGGAGAAGGGATTTTGGTTTCGGTTTAGGTAAAAAGACAACACTATCAACCTAGCGCGAGTCGTATTTCTCACTCAACGGGCCATTTATCTCGTATATATATATATATATATATATATATATATATATATATATATATATATATATATATATATATATACATATACATATATATATATATACAAACCATGGCTTTATTTTACAGAATGAATCGGCCTACAACCACATGTGTCTAGGGTTTACAGTTGTCGCCCTTGTGTGTGCTCAAGTTCTCGCTGGACTCCTGCGTCCAGGTCCCCACCAGAAGCTGAGACCATTTTTTAACTTTTTCCACCGTTTTCTAGGATTTACAGCTTTAGTTATTTCTGGTACGTTTAAACATCAATACTTTCTTTTCGGGAAGGTGAATCACATTAATAATATCTTGGCCTACATTATTTTTAAAGCACTAAAAATTAGAAAATAAATAATTTTGTTTAAATATATAATACACTACTATTCAAATTACTATAAAGAAAAGCGTGGGTCTCCTCTTTAATATTAGCAAAGGTAAATAAACCGGGAGTGATCTCCCCTAAACTTTCTCGAATATTCAAATATAACACTACGTGGGATGGCAACTCGGAATATAGACATGATTTTTGTTTACTTAAACTTTTAAAAATAGAATAAAATCTAGTAGAAAAATGAATTGCGCACCAAGCGAACGCCAAAACAAAATGTGCATAATAGTGCGCAATATTATTAGTACTTTATAAATTTACATGCGTTTTTTGAGAAATCGAAAATTGCGTAAATTAGTACTTCCGGTCAACGGAAATTACTCAAAATTTAACAGAAGGTAGAGAATTAGATCTTTTACTTATATGTGAAGTTTCATTTATCTATCTGAAATAGTACTCAAGTTATACGCTTTTGAAATATTCAAAGTAGAAAAAGTACTACTTCCGGTTATCGGAAATCGCTCAAAAGTTGATCAGGATCTACGATTTTGATAAAATACCTATATATGAAATTTCATCAACCTAGCTGTAACGGTACTCAAGTTATCGTGTTTGCACACAGACACACAGACACACACACACACACACACAGACATACGGAAAAGATTGCAAAATTATGTTTTTCCGTATCAGTGAGATGTAAAACGTCGAGATTTGTAAAAATCTCGATTTTTTTTTTGCACGATTACAAGACTTTCTCTATACTTCGTATATACGAGAAAGTAAAAAGAGATAAAAGAGTGACGCATTCTTTTCTTGATAGTTATTTAAATAGTAGTGTATTATTATATTTTTAAAGAAAATAAATTGTCTCTTTTTTGTGTGTGCACTTTTACATAAAAGATTGTTATTTAAACTTTTTTATGCAACTTTTTTTACAAGCGATTTTTAACTTGCTTCCTCTGTCTGTCTATCTGTCGTCAACGATCGAAAAGGGAGAACGAAATTTCGGTTACTTCCAATTGACCGATTCGTTTCAAAGTTAGCAGGCTGGTCAAGACTTGAAGACAATACAATATGACACGGTGTGTCTGCGTGTCTTGTGTGTGTGTGTGTGTGTGTGTGTGTGTCTAAACACGATAACTTGAGTACTGTTACAGCTAGGTTGCAACAGAAACAGTACTCAAGTTATAGGCTTTTGAAAAACCGAAAGTAGAATAAATTCCACGTCCGGTTACTGGAAATCGCTGAAAAGTATATACAGAACTACACATTTGATATACTTCCAAATGATCTATATGAAATTTCGTCAACCTAGCTTTAAATGTACTCAGGTTATCGTGTTCACAGAGTGACACAAGGACAGAATCGCAAAGTTTTTTCCGACTCGATGACGCGTAAAGCGCCGAGATGCCGAGATTTTGATAAATCTGGATTTAGATTTTTTTGCCCAACAAAGTAAGTCCTCTATACTCCGTATATGATGAAGTACTGAGGTGTAAAGCGGTGAAAACTGTCAAAATTTCATGTGATTTTTGTGCACGATTACACTACTTCCTCTCTACTCTGTATACTACAATGTAAAATTTAAGTATAAATAAACCGGGAGTGATCTCCCCTAAACTTTCTCGAATATCTAATATATAAAGCTCAGTTCTGTATGTAACGCATATGTTTGTCGTTGGTCTTGGATGGATTTAAGTGTTAGACAATTATTGTGCGCATTTGTCTAAATTTATGAGTTAAAAAATTACTATTGAAAGTGTTGGGAAATAATTTTCATTTTTCAAATTATAGTAATAATTGTCGGCATGTTCATTAAACACAAGTTTTAAAAAAAATATCATCTTTTACAAAAATTCTAATTATGTCTTTATTTAGTCCTATAGCACTTACTTCCCTTTGATAAATTAGGAAAACACAATTACTTCCCTTTATAAAACCATTGCATTTGTGGAAAAGAATTTACTTTTTAATTACTTTGTTTTGGTGTTGGAAAAAAAATAATTACATAATTAGCGGGGATTGATCAAGTGCAAATGTTGTAGGTATTTTACGGATAAGCTTGGAGTATTAAAATTGTTCATTAAATTGAAACAGGCGCGTTCGTTTAAGTGAGTGCAAAAGACTATGAATAAGTTGGGGTACTATAGTCGTTCATTAAGCTAAAACAGGTGATTCCGCCCCGGGCGTTTATGTTCGCGTTAGTGTTTTCTTTGTGTTTAGGTGGGTTTGCGTTATTGGTTGCGTTTTGATTTGGTTCGTTTTTGTTCTTTCTTTTTTCGTTTTTGTTTGTGTTTTTTTGTTTGGGTTTGTATTTGTGTTTTTGGTTGGTTTTGCGTTTGGATTTGGTTTGTTTTCGTTTGCTTTTTCGTTGTTTTTTTACTTTCTCGTATATACGAAGTATAGAGAAAGTCTTGTAATCGTGCAAAAAAAAAAAATCGAGATTTTTGCAAATCTCGACGTTTTGCATCTCACTGATACGGAAAAACATAATTTTGCAATCTTGTCCGTATGTCTGTGTGTCTGTGTGTGTGTGTGTCCGTGTGCAAACACGATAACTTGAGTACCGTTACAGCTAGGTTGATGAAATTTCATATATAAGTATTTTATCAAAATCGTAGATCCGTATCAACTTTTGAGCGATTTCCGATAACCGGAAGTGGTATTTTTCCTACTTTGAATTTTTCAAAAGCCTATAACTTGAGTACTATTTCAGATACATAAATGAAATTTCATACGTAAGTAAAAGATCTAATTCTCTACCTTCTATTAAATTTTGAGTCATTTCCGTTGACTGGAAGTAGTACTTTACGCTACTTCCGATTTCTCAAAAAACTAATGTAAATTTTAAAAGTAATAATAATATTGCGCACTATTATGCGCTTTTTTATTTCGCGTTCACTTGGTGTGCAATTAATTTGTCTACGAGATTTTATTCTATTTTTAAAACTTTAAGTATTTAAAATGGATTAAAAATCATGTCTATAGCCCGAGTTCCCATTCCCTGTTATTTTATATAAGAATATTCGAGAAAGTTTAGGGGAGATCACTCCCGGTTTATTTTTTGTTGGGATTGTTGTTTGTGGTTGGGTTTGTTGTTAAGTTTTTGTTTTCGTTTGCTTTTTTTGTTTGTTTTTTCTTTGTGTTTGCATTGGTGTTTGTGGTTGTGGTTGGGTTTGTTGTTAGGTTTTTGTTTTCGTTTGTTTTGTAATTGTGTTAGCGTTATGTTTGCGTTTTGTTGTTTTGGTTGGTTGTGGTTTGGGTGGGCAATGCCGGGTTTATGATGATTACTAAACACACAGGTAATGGTCTTTAACAGAAAGGTTTTTTCACAGAAGCCAGAGCATGGCCTGGCCGGGACGACTAGTTTTTATATAAAATAACAGGGGATGGGAACTCGGGCTATAGACATGATTTTTGATCCATTTTAAATACTTAAAGTTTTAAAAATAGAATAAAATTTCGTAGACACACCAAGTGAACGCTAAATAAAAAAAAGTGCATAGTAGTGCGCAATATTATTAGTACTTTAAAAATTTACATTAGTTTTTTTGAGAAATCGGAAGTAGCGTAAATTACTACTTCCGTTCAACGGAAATTACTAAAAATTTAACAGAAGGTAGAGAATTAGATCTTTTACTTACATGTGAAATTTCGTTTATCTATCTGAAATAGTACTCAAGTTATAGGCTTTTGAAAATTTCAAAGTAGGAAAAGTACCACTTCCGGTTATCGGAAATCGCTCAAAAGTTGATACGGATCTACGATTTTGATAAAATATTTATATATGAAATATATAAATATATATATAAATATATATATATATATATATAAATTAATATATATATTATATATAAATATATAAATCCCCTGAACTTTCTCGTATATTCTTATATTACAGTAAAGGGGATGGCACTTTCGTGCTATCCGGATATAGAAATGTTTTTATTGGGTTCTTTTTTTACTTTCTCGTATATACGAAATATAGAGAAAGTATTGTAATCGTGCAAAAAAAAAAATCGAGATTTTTGCAAATCTCGACGTTTTACACCTCACTGATACGGAAAAACATATTTCGCAATCTTGTCCGTATGTCTGTGTGTCTGTGTGTGTGTGTGTGTCTGTGTGTGTGTGTGTAAACACGATTACTTGAGTACCGTTACAGCTAGGTTGATGAAATTTCATATATAAGTATTTTATCGAAATCGTAGATCCGTATCAACTTTTGAGCGATTTCCGATAACCGGAAGTGGTACTTTTTCTACTTTGAATTTTTCAAAAGCGTATAACTTGAGTACTATTTCAGATAGATAAAATTTCACATGTAAGTAAACGATCTAATTTTCTAACTTCTGTTAAATGTTGAGTAATTTACGTTAACGGGAAGTACTAATTTACGCTATTGCCGATATCTCAGAAACGCATCTAAATTTATAAAGTACTAATAATATTGCGCACCATTATGAACATCTTTATTCGGCGTTCGCTTGGTGTGCAATACTTTTTTCTATGAGATTCTATTTTATTTTAAAAAGTTTATGTATTTAAAATGGATTAAAAATCATAACTATATCCCAAGTTCCCATCCCGTTGTTTTATATAAGAATATTCGAGAAAGTTTAGGGGAGATCACTCCCGGTTTATTTTCTTTGCGTTTGTGTTTTCGTTTGCTTTTTACTTTCTCGTATATACGAAGTATAGAGAAAGTCTTGTAATCGTGCAAAAAAAAAATCGAGATTTTTACAAATCTCGACGTTTTACATCTCACTGATACGGAAAAACATAATTTTGCAATCTTGTCCGTATGTCTGTGTGTCTGTCTGTCTGTCTGTGTGTGTGTAAACACGATAACTTGAGTACCGTTAGAGCTAGGTTGATGAAATTTCATATATAAGTATTTTATCAAAATCGTAGATCCTGATCAACTTTTGAGCGATTTCCGATAACCGTAAGTGGTATTTTTCCTACTTTGAAGTTTTCAAAAGCCTATAACTTGAGTACTATTTCAGATAGATAAATGAAATTTCACATGTAAGTAAAAGATCTAATTCTGTACCTTCTGTTAAATTTTGAGTAATTTCCATTGACCGGAAGTAGTAATTTACGCTACTTCCGATTTCTCAAAACACTAATGTAAATTTTTAAAGTACTAATAATATTGCGCACTATTATGCACTTTTTTTATTTAGCGTTCACTTGGTGTGCAATTCTTTTGTCTACGAGATTTTATTCTATTTTTAAAACTTTAAGTAGTTAAAATGGATAAAAAATCATGTCTATAGCCCGAGTTCCCATCCCCTGTTGTTTTATATAAGAATATTCGAGAAAGTTTAGGGGAAATCACTCCCGGTTTATTTTTGTTGCGTTTGTGTTTTCTTTGTGTTTGTGGTTGTGTTTGTTTTTGTGTTTTCGTTTGTGTTTGTATTTGTGTTATGTTTGCGTTGTTTTTTGTTTGGTGTGTTTTGGTTTTGTTTGGTTGTGGTTGGGTTTGTGGTTGCGTTTGGATTTGTTTTCGTTTGCTTATTTGTTTGCGTTAGTGTTTGTGTTTTCTTTGTGTTTGTGGTTGGGTTTGTCTTTGCGTTTGTTTTTGTGTTTTTGTGTTTTCATTTTCGTTTGTGTTTGTTTTATGTTAGTGTTATGTTTGCGTGTTTTGTGTGTTTTGGTGGGTTGTGGTTAGGGTGGGCAATGCCGGGTAAATGCTGATTACTAAACACACAAGTTATGGTCCTTTACAGATTTGTTTTTCAGAGATGTCAGTGCAGGGCCTGGCCGGGACGGCTAGTATATATATATATATATATATATATATATATATATATATATATATATATATATATATATATATATATATATATATATATATATATCGGTGGCGTAGCAAGGTCGGGTTTCATCCGGTGCGGAACTTAATGGTGTCACCCCCCCCCCCCCGAGTCGTAGCGACCCTTCCCGGGGACAAAATTTCAAGTTTTTGATTTGCGACACCACCCCCCCCCTCAAACTTTCGATTTGCACCCACCCCTCAAGTTTTCGATTTGCACCCCACCCCCTCAAGTTTTTCTCTATATATTTTGCTATTTTTTACCTTGGTGTCACCCCCCTAAATGGTATCACCCGGTGCGGTCCGCAACCCCCGCCCACCCCCCTCGCTACGCCCCCTGATATATATATATATAGTGTGTGTGTGTGTGAGTGTATGTGTGTCTGTCTGTGTGTGTGGACAATACCTTAAAAGTGGTCTTTGTGATATTTACAGCTGCCACCATCATCTATGCCTACAAGATCTCCAACTTTTCTTATGAAATGCAAACATTTGGTGAAAAAACCATGGCAGTATGGGCCGGAGCTTTCACTTGCCTTTTGATTCTACTTACTGGCTATAGATATTTTGCTGCCAAAGTGATAGGTAAGAATACTGTTAATAATTAGCCGTGGTAAACAGCTCAATATCTCTCTCTCTATCTCTCTCTCTCTCTCTCTCTCTCTCTCTCTATATATATATATATATATATATATATATATATATATATATATATATATATATATGTAAGCCCTGCTAGGGGGGGGGATACCTAAAATCTACCCTTCTAGGCATAACTAACTAATCTGTCCGGTCAGTGCAACCGTGGTAGAACCCACAGTGGTTAAACCCTAACCTTAGTCTAAATAATAAGCTACTAAAATAAAACAAAAACTTTTACAGTTAATAAAATTTATTTATCAAGAATGACTAATATAGATTTATTCAACAAAATATGGAACCAAAAGTTATAAAAAAAGAATAGATAAAACTGACACAAAACAGAACCAAACGAAACAAACTTTTTACATCAAACAAAACATTACGTTTGACCATTTGCTGGTGTTGCGCCGACTTATGATGTCTAGGATGGTCCAGGCCCTGACACACAGAAACCTCCCTTCATCCATTCTCGACATCCAAAAGTCCACACCAAACAAAACACTACGTAAAACCACTACGTACAATACATTACGTAGAACACAATACGTACACAACAAACTTTTTACACCAAACAAAACAATTCATATATAACAAAACACCCAGCCAAGTTGCACAAGCAACCTCACTGGAAGGGGGGGGGGGGAAGAGAAAAAGAAAAGGAAAACATAAGAAAAATGCATGGTAATGGCAGATATATACATAAATATATATACAAGTTCAAAATGCTACCTACTACTACTATCTAGCAAAAGCCTCGAGTAAAACTAATCCTTACTATACAATTCTAAAAGCAATTCTCAAAAACAACTAACCACTGTCTAAAGAAGAACTAGCAACTTAAAAATAACGTGTAAACAAATTCATCGTAGAACCAATCTTTCCTACACAAGGAAGCCCGAAGCCATTGGTCTACCTAAACAATATCCATATTGATAACATTAAAGTTAACACACTCCGCTAAGGCCCCAATGAAGGCAGACACAAAGCAAGTGATACTCAACATGACGTTGCACGAAACAGCACACACATTAATTTTAAACAACCTAAAAACTCGAGGCAACTAAAATATACTAATCTAATTACTGTCTAACCAACTGACTATTGACTAAGCCAATCCTAGCCAATAACAACATCATAAAACAATCAGGTAAATGCACACACGCATTCACACCAGTTTAGGAAACACTCCTAAACACACTGGCCTAAACCACGTGGTCCGAAACACACGCCAAGGGTTTAGAAAACATCAAAAATACATTTTAATTCAAAATAACAAAATAACACACCACGTGCATACCAGACATGCCGATGCTCACTATCTCGTTTTAGACGAAAATGAAAGAAAACGAGAAACATCGTCAGTCGCATTCATACAAATCACATAAAGATAAAGTATAAAAAAACAAATACCTCCACGCGTGAGGTGCGCCACGCGCCCTCACAGAAACCTGACCCGACCTACATCTCGCCGCGGGTCAAAAAAAAGGAAGAAAATCACTCCGAGCGGTCAATTTATACTGACCGCTTCGGACGGAAGGGGACTCCGTGGCTGTTCCCCATTGGACCACCATGCACTCCCAGATTCGCAACAAATAAAATAATACAAAATAATCCATTCACCCGCTCACATATATATATATATATATATATATATATATATATATATATATATATATATATATATATATATAAAGCAATGTATGTATGTTTGTTTTTTTGTTTGTTTGTCTTTTATGCATTACTACAGCTCTTATCACATCGCCGTGAAACTTTGGGAAGGAAGTTGTTGAGAATATTCCTAGGGAGGTTTCTGCGAAAAAAATTTCAAATTGGCAGGGGTTGCGCCCCGGCAAGGCGCGATTTGTTTTTCTCTATGTATGGTATATAAAAATAAAAGTCGATTGCGATTTGACATCGTTTATCCGATCGCCATCAAACTTTGAGGAGTTGATTAGAACACTCCAGGTGAGGTTTCTGTAAATACATATTTTTTTTTAATTTAGCAAGGGCGACGCCCCAGGAGGGTGTGATTTTTCTCTAAATACGATAAATAAAAAAAATTGAAAGTCAGATGCGGTTCGACACCGTTTATCAGAGTGCCATAAAACTTTAGGGAGTTGATGAATACTCCCGAGATGATTGTTTCGGGGGGGGGGGGTTGAATTTCGCAAGGGCGGCCACCGGCAGGATGCAATTGAGCGACCTGGTCTTTTCCTTGAGCGCTAAGGCAACTACTTTCGTTCTAAACAGTGTGATAGACAATGGATAAGATGGGGCGTTACAGTCGCTCACTAAATTAAATCAGGCGTGTGTGCTGGCACCACGGTAGGGTGCGGTTTGGCTGCGAACAAAAATTTCAGTTTCAGCCCCAAAGGCTCACATAGGCCGCTGAGGGCCATGTAATACATGTTTTTAAGTAATCACATAAATTACCCAAGATTAGATTTTAACTGAGTTGTTTCCTTTTGTCATTAAAAAAAATCCTAACAGTTTCATCCCTTTGGGAATAATGCAATTAGCACCTATTTTTAGATGATCCAATCAGAAATTGAGATCGAGCAAATGCATCAGTCACACTGATGTTTAACACGTCAAATTGTTTTTCTACGTGTTAAAGAAAAAACCCTGTCAATTTGTGTCACTTTAACGAATGACGCAATCTGTATCATTGTTTCGGGATACCATGTAACGCTCTGGGTTATCCTGTGAGCACTATGGTGCCTATGTTAGTTTTAAGGAGCCAGGGGCCGTACGCGGCGCCTCTGCGGTAGTGTAATCGAGGGGTTCCCGAGAGCGCCCCTCTACGTCCCTGACACATGGGCGGTCACCGAAGTGTGTTACACCTCAGTATTTCGGTGAGTGATTAACGTACACTCAATGTTGTCTTGCGGTAGTGTAGGTAAACCCGTGTCCCGATATGTATGACCCAAGCGCAGGCATTGTTTATATTTAATTAGCTCACTTTTAAAAAACAATGTCACGCGTCTAAGAATATAGGATTGGTAACGCTGGATGAAACCCTTCTTATATATTTCGTCAGACTTTCTTCTATTCCCGCGGCAACGCGCGGGGACGGGTACGCTAGTGTTGAATAGAATTAACTACATTAGAGAGGATAATCAATCACATAGCGGTTTTTTTTAAATAAATAAATCCTGCACGAATGAGTTTCCTGTCAGGGTTTGTTCGGGGATAGAATAACACAAACTTACCACAAACGTATGAACTCGTGGACATCAAGGCTGTCACATCAACCACGACATCAAGGCTGTCACATCAACCACGACATCAATGAAGTCACATCAACCAAGACATCAATTATGTCACATCACATTGTATGTGTGTTTGTGGTTGGTTTTGCGTTTGGATTTGGTTTGTTTTCGTTTGCTTTTTCGTTTATGGTTCATCAATGATGTCACATTAACTAGGACATCAAGAGCGTCATATCAACCAGGACATCAATGATGTCATATCAACCAGGACATCAATAATGCCACATCAATCAGGACATCAAGAATGTCATATCAACCACGACATCAATGATGTCATTTCAACCACGACATCAATGATGTCACATCAACCACGACATCAAGGCTGTCACATCAACCACGACATCAACGATGTCACATCAACCAGGACATCAATAACGTCATATCAACCACGACATCAATGATGTCACATCAACCTCGACATCAATGATGCCACATCAACCAGGACATCATGAATGTTTGTTTTCGTTTGCTTTTTCGTTTGTTTTTTCTTTGTGTTTGTATTGTTGTTTGTGGTTGTGGTTGGGTTTGTGTTAGGTTTTTGTTTTCGTTTGTATTTGTAATTGTGTTAGCGTTATGTTTGCGTTTTGTTGTTTTGGTTGGTTGTGGTTAGGGTGGGCAATGCCGGGTATATGATGATTACTAAACACACAGGTAATGGTCTTTAACAGAAAGGTTTTTCACAGAGGCCAGAGCAGGGCCTGGCCGGGACGGCTAGTTTTATAATAAATTTTTTATTCTTTTTTTAATTCTATTTTAAATTATTTTTTAATTCTATCTTTAATTCTATTTTTAAATTCATTTTTTAATTATATCTTTAATTCTATCTTTAATTCTATCTTAAATTCTACCTTAAATTCTATCTTTAATTCTATCTTTAATATTATCTTTAATTCTATCTTTAATTCTATCTTTAATATTATCTTTAATTCTATTTTTAATTCTATTTTGTCTATTTCGTCCGGGGTTGGGTAGGTGGTGGAGGGGAGGGGGATGGACTTGTTCCGTTAGGTAAAGTATCTCTCTTCCCCCCCCCCCCCCCCCACCCACCCCCCACCGAGAGGTGTGTGAAAGAAACTCTGAGATAGACTACCCCTGGCCGTGCTACAATGTGTTACCTTTTTCTAGTCGGCAGATCAAACTCTGACGAATACAACTTGGACAAGATGAGCAACAGCCCAGAGCCTGACGAGTCCAGTCCACCCAGCCACATCCTACTCGCAGTTTTCATTGCTTTTATTTTGTCTTCTCTCACTGCCGCACTGGTCATGACCATCTTTTTCTAGTTCCCGCTATCAAACCTGACTTGCTGCATCAGTGCATCAGTGGCGAAACTACAGCATAAATAGCCACAGTGACATATATAAATTAAATAAATAAATAAATAAATATATATATATATATATATATATATATGTGTGTGTGTGTGTGTGTGTGTGTGTAAACATATATAAATTTATACATGTGTGTGTCTATATGATCGGACAAATAGAGCCGATGAAGTAAAGTTCTGCTGTTTAAATGACCTTGGCATTCAGGGGTACCATGTGGCCAGCAATCGGCGCAGTCGTCCTTATTTCCCCTAAAGTGTGTCAGGTACTCAAAGCTCAGTGGACTCACTGACGCCCTCGAGATTCGAACCCGGGATTCCGAACTCGAGACTTTCTTTTTAGCAGTCGTAAGCTCTACCACATATAACCTATATATATATATATAAATATATATATATATATATATATATATATATATATATATATATATATATATATATATATATATATATATATATATATATATAAACTTATTTGCAGAACTATATTCCTAGGCAATATAAATGAATCACAACAACAATGTAGTTTATATACATATAGCCATGGTACCCGTTTCACGTGAATTATAGGCCTATATATTATAGCCCTGTCTATATATTATAGGCATTTTAATGTTAGACTTGTTTGGAAAAAAATAAGTTATAAAAAAAAAAGTTATTGGTTAAAACGCAGTGTTCTTTACTACCCGTTGAAGAACATTAGTGACAAAGCAAACAAATAATACCAAATAGATAAAATCCGACACATTTAAAATTACCTATTAGAAAAAATGAATGAAAATAGTTCATTTCTTCATATTCTGAAATTGGAAGATGACGCCATTACATGTAACTTTTTTTTTTTTTGCGTTCTTGTCACACACGCTGGCGAGAAAAGTCTCAAAGGTATTTGAGAGGTCCATAAATTAATTTAAAAATTATGCACGGCGTAGTTACAATTAATATGGTTATAAAATCCTGCCTGTCTGGTTTTTTTCGGACTTAACTAAAGATTGGATGTATTTGATGTTTTTAATATTTTCGGTAACTAAAAAAAAAAAAAAAAAAGCAAAAACAATTTGGTTTTCACGTGTAATGGCGACATAAACAATGGCACCCTGCTATTCGATAGGCCGCCATAAATTTTATTGTACACATTGTAAGCTAAAAAAATAAAAACTAGGTCATGGGGTTTAAATTTGCATTGTTATTTAAAAACTTGATCTGCAAAGTTTTGTAAACAAAAAAAAACTATAAAGTGGGGCTGTCAGAAATCGATCACGGAATTCCTGTACAGCCAATCAATGTTTGTCTTACGAAAGTAAAACATCGGGTTATAACTTAGGCTTGATGAAAATAAATAGAAATGTAGCCTTAAACGCAACAAATTATTTTCAAGTTCTCTGGCTCTGCAACTTGCATAGCATTGATTCTAAAAATATAAAATTTCTGAATTAATTTTAGGCTTAAGTTTTTAATAAAATTGTATCTTTTATTATTTTTACGGTCCTAAATCTAAAAAAGCGCATTTTTATTCCATGTCAACAACATTACGAAAGGATTTTCGTCAACTCACTGGTGTCCATTTTAAAAAAGTGCATCTATGTTCGAAAATGACTTTATTTTTGTTTCCTTCTTAACATATTGCTTTCGACAAAAGTCCGTATCTTTAAGTTCTCCATAATAATGATCTCATTAAGATTGGAAAACGGACTCCTCAATATTTAAAAATCGTATCAAATGCATTTTTCATAAAACGTCATGCTTAAAAGCTTATCGAGGCAACTATAAATCTTAGAAATATACTTCAACAGCCAAATAATTTATATTGGAATCTACTAATATTAAAAAAATAATATAACAGTGCAGATAAAAAAGTATTAAAAAAACATCTTGGTGTTTATTTTTATTTGTTATATAGGGGAAAGTTTCGAGAAGTGGGGCGAGGGTTAGGGACGAGAGAGAATGGGACGGGGGAGAAGTGGGACAAAGGAGAAGTGGGACGGGGAGAAGTGGGACGAGGTAGAAGTGGGAGAGTGGAGAGAAGTGGGACAAGGGAGAAGTGGGACAGCAGAGAAGTGGGACAGCGGAGAAGTGGGAGAGTGGAGAGAAGTGGGACAAGGGAGAAGTGGGACAGCAGAGAAGTGGGACAGCGGAGAAGTGGGAGAGTGGAGAGAAGTGGGACAAGGGAGAACTGGGACAGCGGAGAAGTGGGACAGCGGAGAAGTGGGAGAGTGGAGAGAAGTGGGACAAGGGAGAAGTGGGACGAGGGAGAAGTGGGACAGCGGAGAAGTGGGAGAGTGGAGAGAAGTGGGACAAGGGAGAAGTGGGACGAGGGAGAAATGGGACAGCGGAGAAGTGGGAGAGTGGAGAGAAGTGGGACGAGGGAGAAGTGGGAGAGTGGAGAAGTGGGACGTGATAGAAGTGGAGAGAAGTGGGACGACGGAGAAGTGGGACGTAGGAGAAGTGGGACAGGGGAGAAGTGGGACATGCTAGAAGTGGAGAGAAGTGGGACGACGGAGAAGTGGGACGAGTGAGAAGTGGGACGTGTGAGAAGTGGGACATATTTTACTTTTACTTCGGCGCCCCACGTTTTTCATTTTTTGTCATAATGCGCACGCAGTTTGCGATCGCTTATAGTAGAGTGATCGCTTGCATTATTGTGATGTATAGCATTTATTTTCTACTTTTTAGTTCAATCAGAAAACTTTTTTTTTTTTTTTAAATTTACTGATAATTATTTACAAGCTTTTATTTAACTCACTTACCTCTGTCTGTCGTCAGTCTGTCTAGATCGAAACGCCGAAGCGAAAGTTCTGACACTTCTACTTGACAGATACGGTTCACAGTAGGCACGTGGGTCAAGACATGAAGACAATGCAATCTGAAATTAAATTTGACTTAATTGGATGCCTAAATAATTTTTAATTTTTAATGAATTAATTAAAATTTTGACCGAATTAGTAGGCATGTCTATCCAACCACACCACACGCATCATCAAGTTCACTGGCGCGCAATGGTTTTTAGTCATGAAACTCTAGTGTAAATAAAACATGTAAAGTACTGGAAAAAAAATCATAAAAAACGTTTTAATAACAAGCTTTTATGTAATAATGCACCAAAAAGAAGAAAAAACTATAGACTACTATTTAAACTGTAATATATTGAGCTTTATATTGAGGGGAACTCACTCTTCTTGTATTAGTCTTATAATGTTTGAGTGATGTCCCTTGCATGTGATGTGCTTCCTGTTTCCGATTGAGAATAAAACGTGGTGTGCATAGAACATGGCTTCCTTGTCTGTTGTGTTACCTATCTAAGTACAAATCTACTTCATTTGGCGACGAGGATAAATCATCCACTAAAAAGATCACATGCTTACTTAAGAAGAAGCTTGCTAGAGCATATTGACTAAGTATTTACAGGATAATGGCGCTGTATGGCCAGATAAAAGAATTTAATTAGAATGAAGAAACCATTCATGATTATCTAGATAGGTTAAGCTTTTACCTTGAAGCTAACGACGTGACGATAGAAGCCAAAAAGAGAGCTGTTTTGTTAACAGTCATAGGGCCTCAACAATTTAGGCTATTAAAGGACTTATGCGCACCAGCTAGTCTAGCTACCAAGAGCTTTAACGAGCTGAGCAAACTGCTAACAGACCACCATGCGCCCGCACCACCCAAGTTCCTGTGAAGAGCCAGATTTGACGGTAGGACTCGTCAACCAAACGAATCAATATCAGAATATGTTGCTGCTTTACGTCATCTAAGTGAATTCTGTGAATTCGGGGACACGCTGTCTAGACAGACTATGTGAAAAGTTTGTGACAGGTGTAAACAGCCCTGATGTTCAAAGAAAGTTGCTTCTCGAGTCAGATCTAACATTGGAAAAAGCAATACAACTTGCAACTTCATACCAGCAGTCATCCGAGGCGGCCAGATCTCTGGCGCCTTCAGGGATCCATGCAGTAGACAGCAGGTCAGTCAACAAACACCAACCCCATCAGAGCAGCTCTACTTATGCTAAACAGCCTGCAAGTTCAAATCCTAGATCTAAATCTATTAATAATTATCAAAAATGTCATCGATGCAACGGTCCCCATGCATCTCATCAATGCAAGTTCAAGTCAGCAACTTGCTATAAGTGCAGTAAGCAAGGTCACATTGCCAAGGCCTGCTTTGCAAAGTCTTCGTCTGTTGCTAGATCTAGTCAGTCAAGACAGTACCGCAACCAAAGGCAGCACTATGTTAACCTTCACCAAGACAGCCTAACCCAACCAATGAACCACTCTACCTGTGAAAATGCTCAAACTGATCCGCAGCCGGAGTTCAACCTGTTCTCTGTGAAATCAACAAGTCATGCTCCCATCAATGTACTAGTTTGTATCAACGGTAAGAGCATCATCTTCCAACTTGACAGGGGAGCATCTCTAACCGTCATCACAAAGAAGGACTTTGACGCTGTCACAGGAGGGTCAGTGCCTCTACAACCATGTCACAAGTGCCTAACAACATACACAGGTGACAAGGTTCCGGTGATAGGAGAGTGTATGGTTCATGTAAGCTATAATGGTCAAAGTGTTAAACTTCCTCTTCCTGTGGTTGAAGGAAATGGACCACCATTACTAGGTAGGAACTGGTTAGTTGATCTTAAGTTAGACTGGGGGAGTATATTTTCAGTGAACAAAGCAAGAGAATCTAGTTTTACTTCAATAGATAAAGTTGTATCTGAAAATGAAGGTGTCTTTGGTAGTTCAGGGTTACTAAATGATAGGACAGTGAAGATAAGCATTAAAGACACAAATCCAAGATACTGCAAAGCTAGAGTTCCACCTTATGCAATGAGGGATAAAATTGAAAATGAGCTAAGTAGATTGGAATCTAATGGCATCATAAAGAAGGTAGACTATTCCGATTGGGCAACGCCCATTGTGCCAGTGTTAAAGAAGGTTGGTTCTGTAAGAATTCGTGGAGACTATAAAGCTACACTGAATAAGCAAATAGAGCTAAATAGGTACCCTATTCCTAACATTGAGGAAATTGCTTTGAATTTGGCAGGAGGAGACAAATTCACTGAATTAGACTTTAGTCATGCTTATACTCAACTAGAACTTCATCCAGATTCAAAAGTCTATACGACAATAAACACACATAAGGGACTCTACCAATATGAAAGACTATGTTTTGGTATATCATCTAGCCCTGGAATTTTCCAGGCTGTCATGGACAGTATTTTTCAGGACATTCCAAATGTTTGTGTTTACTTTGACAATGTATACATGTGAGCGGGTGAATGGATTATTTATTTTGTATTAATTTATTTGGTGCGAATCTTTGAGTGCATGGTGGTCCAATGGGGAACGGCCACGGGGTCCCCCCCTTCCGCCCGAAGCGGTCAGTATAAATTGACCGCTCGGAGGATTTTCTTCCTTTTTGACCCGCGGCGAGATGTAGGTCGGGTCAGGTTTCTGTGGGCGCGTGGCGCACCTCACGCGTGGAGGTATTTGTTTTTTTATACTTTATCTTTATGTGATTTGTATGAATGCGACTGCCGATGTTTCTCGTTTTCTTTCATTTTCGTCTAAAACGAGATAGTGAGCATCGGCATGTCTGGTATGCACGTGGTGTGTTATTTTGTTATTTTTTTTAAATGTATTATTGTGTTTTCTAAACCCGTGGCGTGTGTTTCGGACCACGTGGTTTAGGTCAGTGTGTTTAGGAGTGTTTCCTAAACTGGTGTGAATGCGTGTGTGCATTTACCTGATTGTTTTATGATGTGTTATTGACTAGGATTGGCTTAGTCAATAGTCAGTTGTTTTAGACAGTAATTAGATTAGTATATTTTAGTTGCCTCGAGTTTTAGGTTGTTTAAAATTAATGTGTGTGCTGTTTCGTGCAACGTCATGTTGAGTATCGCTTGCTTTGTGTCTGCCTTCATTGGGGCCTTAGCGGAGTGTGTTAACTTTAATGTTATCAATATGGATATTGTTTATGTAGACCAATGGCTTCGGGCTGCTCCTTGTGTAGGAAAGATTGGTTCTACAATGAATTTGTTTACACGTTATTTTTAAGTTGCTAGTTCTTCTTTAGACAGTGGTTAGTTGTTTTTGAGAATTGCTTTTAGAATTGTAATAGTAAGGATTAGTTTTACTCGAGGCTTTAGCTAGATAGAAGTAGTAGGTAGCATTTTGAACTTGTGTATATATTTATGTATATATCTGCCATTACCATGCATTTTTCTTATGTTTTCCTTTTCTTTTTCTCTCCCCCCCCCCTTCCAGTGAGGTTGCTTGGGCAACTTGGCTGGGTGTTTTGTTATATATGAATTGTTTTGTTTGGTGTAAAAAAGGTTGTTTTGTACGTAATGTCTTCTACGTAATGTATTGTACGTAGTGGTTGTACGTTGTGTTTTGTTTGGTGTGGACTTTTGGATGTCGAGAATGGATGAAGGGAGGTTTCTGTGTGTCAGGGCCTGGACCATCCTAGACATCATAAGTCGGCGCAACACCATCAAATGGTCAAACGTAATGTTTTGTTTGGTTTAAAAAGTTTGTTGTGTACGTATTGTTTTCTGCGTAATGTATTGTACGTAACGTATTGTACGTAGTGGTTTTACGTAGTGTTTTGTTTGGTGTGGACTTTTGGATGTCGAGAATGGATGAAGGGAGGTTTCTGTGTGTCAGGGCCTGGACCATCCTAGACATCATAAGTCGGCGCAACACCATCAAATGGTCAAACGTAATGTTTTGTTTGGTTTAAAAAGTTTGTTGTGTACGTATTGTTTTCTGCGTAATGTATTGTACGTAACGTATTGTACGTAGTGGTTTTACGTAGTGTTTTGTTTGGTGTGGACTTTTGGATGTCGAGAATGGATGAAGGGAGGTTTCTGTGTGTCAGGGCCTGGACCATCCTAGACATCATAAGTCGGTGCAGCACCATCAAATAGTCGAACGTAGTGTTTTGTTTCGTTGAGTTCTGTTTGTTTTGTATGTCTTGAGTGTTTTATTTTATCTAGATAGATTCTAGTTTTTTTTATAATAACTTTTAGTTCCATGAAATAAATTTTATTAAATTTATTTAAAAGTTTTTTTGTTTTTAATTTAGACTAAGGTTAGGTTATTAACCAGTCTGGGTTACCGGACTTGCACTGACCGGACAGTAGTTAGTTAGATAAGCCTAGTAGGGTAGATTTTAAGGTATCTCCCCCCCCCCCCCCCCTAGCAGGGCTTACATACATAACTGGTAAGAATGACACTGAACCTCTTAAAACACTTGATAAAGTCTTGAAAATAGTTGGTGAAAAAGGTTTAAAGATAAACAAAGATAAATGTCAATCCATGCTGACAGATATTAGTTTTCTTGAGAAAACAAAAGCCATTAAAGAAGCACCCAAACCTGAAAATACCCAACAGCAAAGAGCTTTTTTTGGCTTGATAAATTACTATGCGAAGTTCATAGGGAATCTGTCTGGTAAACTATCACTACTGTACAAGCTGCTGCTTTTAATGCAACTTTGCACTGGGGTAAACAACAAGAAGCTGCTTTTAATGCAGCAAAAGAAGCTTTGTCTTCTGACAACTTACTAACTCACTATGACCCAGGGAAAAGACTTATCTTAACATGTGATGCTTCGCCAGATGGTGTAGGAGCAGTTTTATCCCACATAGATGAAAATGGTGACAGACCCATTGCTTTTGCCAGTAGATCTTTGAACCAGAGAAAAATTATTCTCAGTTAGATAGGGAAGGCTTAGGCATCATTTTTGGTGTTAAGAAATTTCACAAGTTTCTGTTTGGTAGAGAGTTCACCATCTTTACAGATCATAAGCCATTGCTGGGTTTGTTTGGGGAAAACAAACCCCTGCCTGAGCATGCCTCACCAAGGGTTCAAAGGTGGGCTATCACACTAGCCGCATACAATTATGAATTGAAATACAAACCTGGATCTGAGAATAGTGCAGATAGTCTTAGTCGTTTACTAAAAGAATACGACTTATGTCTAAGACATTAACACTTTGCATTAAAGCAATTTAGGTTGTAATAAAATAGATAGTAAATAATAAAAAAAAAATAATTTAACCAGATTTATTGTTGCAAGCTATTCTTCAACTTTCCTTGTCCCGTATGTAAGTGTGAACGCTAAAGTATCTAGAGCAGGGGTTCCCAACCTTTTTTTTTTTAACTCTAGAGCACATTCTAAAATATCGGTAGGTTGGCGGGCACCAGCTATTTTAAATCGACAAACTCCTTCCAGAGGCGTAGCGACCCTTCCCGTCACCCGGGGACAAAACTTTCGATTTGCATCCCCCTCAAACTTTCGATTTGCACCCCCTCCCTTCAAACTTTCTATTTCCACCCCCTTCAACCTTTCAATAATGTTTATGAAAAAAATTCTGTCTCTGTCGAATAGTGAGAGGCGGGCACATACGAATCGTTCTAGAGTCTATGTTTTGTGGAGAAAATGTTTCCAGATAAAAACAACTTTTGGTGGGCTTTTGTGTTCTAGACATGTACAGTATACATGTATGGTATGCAAGTGTAATTTAGTGTAAACCTTCAAATGCTTTTTTAAAAATGAGCTCTCCCTTAAAGCTATTCTTCCGGTTATATTAGAATATATATAGTGAGAAATTTAAGGTTTAACTCATTTCTATTCTAGATCTACGTCTAGATCTAGATCTAGGTCTAGATGTAAATGGATTCTTGAACATCTGATGTTGTGTAATGTGCACATAAAAAATCCATTAGTCATGCTTATATAAGTAAAGTAGGCCTAATTAATTATTGATCTATTTCTGCCGGCAGTAGTTTTCTTACTAACTAGAATCTAGATCTACTAGACTACTAGATCTACTACTACACTACTAGGGTTAGATCTAGTAGAGATTCTAGAATCTATCTACTCTAGAATCTAGATCTAGATCTAGTATCTATGGATCAAAACAAGGGTAATTTAATAATAATTATTAGCCTATAGCCTACTTATACATTGCCTATAGATCTAGATTATAAATTATAGTATTGTATTAATGTACAGTAATTGTATAGGCCTACTATAGACTATAGACAAGTAATTATACTAATTAATACTACTATACTAGTAATACTCAGTAATACTAATAGGCCTATGCTTTAATAAATAGTAGGCTAATAAATACAAGTCAAGTAGACCTATGGCCTATGATTTATGAATAATTTGATGTATTAAATTTGTGTCAAATGTAATAGATTAGGGGTAAAATCTTAGTTTAGCATAGTAAATTCCAACGTAGCTAGTAATGTGCGATGAAGGTAACTAATGAATATTTCTTTCATTTGGCCATATTTATGTCATATTTTACATAATATAACAGATAATTGAATAACAAATCATAATCCAAGACCAAACCAGTCATAAATATCCTGGAATAAACTTTAAATACAAGCAGCGGCCATGTTTCAAAAAACAATAAATTGTCTATTCGCATGTCTTTTGTGTTGATTTTGTAGTTTAATATGATTATTTTGTATTGTTTTAATATATTATATGCCTGGGGGTCGTCCATAAATGACATCACACTCGTAGGGAGGGGGTTCCGTAATTTTGTGACGTTGTGTGATGAGGGGGAAGGGGGGGGGGGGGGGGGGTTCAGATGGTGCGACGTCACACTTTTGCATTTTAAAAAGCAATGTTAGAAAACGAATTTTAGACGTTATTTCGCGTTTTAGATAACTGTTTTAATAAATTGTAATAGTTTAGCAAGATTTTGAAAAAATATCAATGTATAAAAAAGTTCAACTGCAATTTTGAGGGGGGGGGGGGGGGGTTGTAGGTTGAGGTGTGACATCATTTTAGGGGGGGGGGGGTCTGGCTGTTTGTGACGGAGGGGAGGGGGGAGGTAAAAATCGTTTTAAAAAGCGTGACGTCATTTATGGATGACCCCTTATATTGAGGTCTAGAATCTACTCCCTCTAAAATAAAGTTAAAATTCGTACAGAGGCGTAGCGAGGGGGGGAGACTTATGTCCCCGGGCAACGACCTTAGGGGGCGCCAAAATGGGTTGGAAAAATAAATTGAAAGCCTGAAGGGGTCGCAAATTGAAAGTTTTTGGGGGGGGGGGGGTGTGCAAATAGAAAGTTTTCCCCAAGCGCCGGGAAGGGTCTCTACGCCTCTGAATTCGTAGCAGAAATGTCATCTATTTGTTAGTTCACGTGCGATTGACATCATTTACCACCGACCCCTATGTTAAAAAAATAAAAATGCACTTCGTCTTGAAACTTTCACGTTCCAGTTGCCCTCCCCCTCCTTTGTCCATATAAAATCATATGAGTGTGCAAACCTTGCCAGGAGACGATCGGCTCTAAAAATCGTCCCTTGATACAGCGTCTTCTGTTAGTGCATTAAGCTACCACCGTATGTACTTAGGCTGCCCACTAATAATTGTAAGCCCTTCGAAGAAGCTTGTGATTAGGATGTACAAAAGAGGCGCTTTGGGTGGTGCCGGACCCCACGCGGATGGTTGTTTTCCTAACGCGCCGACTTAGAGGCTGTTGCTGTTAAACTACTGATTTATATTAAACTCATGCATATACAAAGCTCTGGCATTACATTAGGTCAGGGTGTACATATATGCAGAAGTCTTATAACAGTGAGAGTTGAGCTTTTGTTATACGCCATGTCGTGAAATAAACTGTTTTGTCTAGCTTTGCTTGCGGCCGATTTTGTCTTGGGCTCTTTTGTCAATGTCATTTTTTCTCAGGAGTCATTTGATTTAAGCCTTATTATTAGAAGTACCTTCGTTAAGAGTCAATATGTTGGGGCATTTTTGTCGGCAGGCACTTGGTGGCAAGCCTTTTTGACGGAGTTATTGTGTTGAGGCCGTTTTGCCAAACGTCTCAAACTAGCAGGCTTGCGACATTTATGATCATCCGTTCTTAACAAGGTATACGTATACTAATGTTTAATCAACGTTATTTTGATTGAATATAGGCCTAGTATTTCCCCCCCCCCCCCACCCCCCTCCCCTCCGTTCACCTTCTTTCATTAGGCATACACGTCATAAATAGCGGACCCGCATTCTTTCACTTCACAAACCTTTACTGCCTCCCGTAGCATATCAGATGTAACATCATTTAAGAACAACCCCATATCATTAATTTTTGTGTGTGTAATTGATATTGACATTTTGATAACAAAGTATAACCAACATATGTCTGAAAGGTGGTGACTTGGGATTGACCATAACATGACGCACGTAAATGGTGGAGTGACTGGTGTTTTTATATGATGTTTTATGAGGGAAGCTGGTAGAAAATAAATATAAATGTAAAAGTGATAAAAAACATTTATTTTCGTCAAAATTATGGTCAGACATCTTAGAAAGTAGGCTTATAGAGTGAAACTGTGGGTATTTTGTACATTGACTTTTTAGGAAAACGATAATACAATGGAGGTTGGGGGTTTAATTAAGGTGAAGAGAAGTAAAAAAAAAAAAAGACAAAATATACGATTGAATCACTAACTAAAGAAAAGAAGCACTTAAAACATTAAATGAAAATAGCAAGCATTCAAATAACAAGAACAAATTAATACATTTACATGCGAATAGAAAAGGGAAGCTATTCTAAATAATATTTTTTCAAGATGGCTGCTGTTTTTAATAGCAAATTTACTGTCTCGAACAGAGTTGATAAAAATTAATTTCAGGATAGTTAAATTGATTTAACCATAAAAGGTGATCTATTATTCAATTATTTATAATATTTTATCAAAATATACGAAAATATACTCATATTTATTATTTAATGACATATTCATTAATTCACTCTCTCCAACATTACTAGTTTTGGCCGAATTTACGACGCTAAACTAAGATTTTACCAGATTAGGACCTCTTTAGTCTTTTAGCCCTAGGCCGGTGGCCTAGATCAGGGGTCTCCAAACTACGGCCCGCGGGCCCCGCGAGGTCCTCTCATCCGGCCCGCGGAGATCTTTTTGTCCACGGAAAAAACGTTTGTTGGTGATAGCTGAGCAACTCTGCCCAGAAAAATCAAAGACAGGACTGGAAGAAATTGGCCCCCGAACTGAAATTTGATAGTCAATACGGCCCTCGGACTGAAAAGTTTGGAGACCCCTGGCCTAGATAATTGAAATTAAATTATAGGCCTAAACCAAATGCAATGTCTAAAATCTAGATCTAGTGATGCTCACTAAATTTGAAATCTCATTAGGCCCCTATTTTTACAAGCTTTTATTTAACTTACTGTCTCAGTCTCTGTCTGATCGAAACGCCCAAGTAAAATTTCGGCACTTCCAACTGTCAGATTCGGTACTAAGTTGGCACGTTGATCAAGACATGAAGACAAGTCAATCTGACATTAAAATTAAATTTGACTTAGTTTAATTAGATGCCTAATTAATTTTTATGAATTAACCTAGGCCTAATTAAAATTCAAATTAGTAGGCTGTCTTATCCAACTGTTGTGCACTATTATACACACGTTATCACGTTCATTAGGTGTGCAATGGTTTTTAGTCATGTAGGCCCTAACTCTATTGTAAATTTTAAAAATTTAAAGTAGGCCTAGGCCTACTGAAAAATAATTTATAAAAAATGTTTTAATAACAAGCTTTAAAGTTATAATGCACTAAAAAGTAGAAAATAAATAATTTTCTTTAAATAGGCCTATATAGTAATACACTACTATTTAAATAACTAAAGAAAAGCTTGGGTCTCCTGCTAAATATTAGTAAAGGTAATGACACACTATAGGGCCAATTTGGGTGACTCTAGGGTTCTATTTAAAATTTTGCATAGCTCAAAGTTGACCAATTTTTATGTTTTGGTCTTCATTATCAGGAGCAAATTTCAAATTAACTTTAAGAAAGCTAAGTGGCTGACCACATGTGCAATATGACTGACTGTTACATGGGTTTGTCAGTACTTAAACCTCAAGCAGGCAACTTGTGTAGCTTTGTCAAGTTGTTGAATGATGTGTTGCACCTTAAATAAAATATCAATTCTTGAAACAGCAAGAGAAGTGTCCCTTTTAGAATCAAAATATATTTTTCTTGATGGACTTAATTATTATTGTGTTTCATCATGACGACAAAAAGACTGATCTGTTTTGAATATTTTCTAGTTGCTCTTGTTGAGGACAACTCTTGTCCACTGGGTGTGCAGCTTGTCAACACTAGAAGAACCAACAAACCATCAGACTCATCTGACCTTGTGGAGCTTGCCCAAGCTGTCCAAAAGGTCACTTCTTAATCCCTACTTCTTGGATATTTTTTATATTTATAAATCATTCCCATCCTGTGTATATTTTGTTGAATTTTTAGAACTTTGCCTTTTATTTGACAGGCTGATGAATTTACAAAAGCTGCTGCTTACAGTAAACTGAGTGTTATCGCTGAACAAATTCGATTTCTTCAGGACCAAGCAAGAAAGGTAAGAGGACATGCTAGGATGAAAACATATTGAATTGTACTTTTATTACATTGTTCAGTTTTAACCCACCAACTGTGGTAGGCCTGCTCCATATTGTGTGGCCAAAAATGTACTTCCAATCCAATATTTTCCCAGAAATGACCTTTTATTTTTAAGTTATTAAATCTTCTACTGGTTAATGCTGTCTGTTGTTAAATTTAATGGATGGAAGTGTTAAACAAATTTATATTTGTCATACAATTTTACACAATTTTAAATAACACAGATCATAGTTCAGACTGATCTGTGATCTATACAATAACATTAATTATTCAACATTGTATCTAGAATCTAGTAGTAGTGAAATAGAAGTGAAGATCGTTCTTAGACCCACCCCCACACCACTTAAGCAGATGGGCGCCTTGAATTGGTAGATTACTGGATTCCAGTCAATACTAAATCTGATTTTAGGACAAATTAAAACAGGGGTTCCCAACCCTGTGCCCGCGGGCGACATGGGGCTGCTGAATGATTCATACGTGCCCGCCTCTCACTATTCGACAGAGACAGAATTTTTTTCATAAACATTATTTTAAAATATGATTTATTTTTGTTCATTTGTTACTGTTTTAATTTTTTTTACTGCCTAGGTTTATTAAATATGTTTGATACTTGTCTAGCGGCGAGCCAGACTGCACTATTTATGCTATCCTGGAACGGCTAGTGCCATTTGAATCATTCTTCGGTTCGAGATATTTATGCGAATCATTGTTTTCAAACATGAACTTAATAAAATCGAGATATAGATCTCGACTCACCGATGAGCATCTTTATGATTGTCTGCTAACAGGATTATTGTCATACGCTCCTAATTATGAAGCTCTGGCCAATGAAATGCAATGCCAAAGATCACATTGACTTTATTATATTTTTTTATTAAATGTTTTCTTTGTATTTATATGTTCTGTTTACTTTCTTTACGTTTTGTAAATACATTTCTCTGTGTGTATGCAATTTGAAAAAATGCCAAATAATTTTATTATTTTGAAACATTTTTGTTTATTATTTATTAATACATGATGACTATAAGAAAATAAGAAAATAAATTATGGGAAAATGACATGTTATGGAAGGAGTTTGTCGATTTAAAATAGGTGGTGCCCGCCACCCTACCCATATTTTAGAATGTGCTCTTGAGTAAAAAAAAGGTTGGGAACCCCTGAATTAAAATAATTTAAACAAAGTCTAGATTTTCCAAAACAGGAATCAGAATGTTATAAATTATAATGCAACAACATTTGTTGTGAAATAATTAGTAAACAATTTGCAGCAAATGTGGACCTAATAGAAATAAATTGCATCTGAAAACAAAAATTTTAATCTCAAACTTTCCAAGGTGAATATCATCCACTAAAAAAATGCTTTTAGCCTCTAATTATATATCAATTATCTTGATTCATGACCATTTAAGAAAAATAAGTTTTAAGGGTCTGTCTGCAATTTTTGTATGCCAACTCTTCTAAAGTCATATCCAAAATGCTCAAAAACTCCCCACACTACAGAACATTTGTATACCACTAAATGCCAGGCCCTAGAAGAAACAAAATGCTTTATTCATTCTCTTTTTACTTAGTTCACAACATCCTTTTGTTTGTTTGTGGGTTTTTGGCAAATAACTAAATTTAACCCACATTTAATGCAGCCATTTTGCTCAGATTTTTCAGCGGTCTTCATCTTCAATGTTAATACTATAATGTCTAATTATCAAGTTAACTAGAGAGACAATTTAATCTTAATGTGGAGATATCAAGATTTTATAAAGTACTAGTTAGCAGTCGCTTAATTGGAGGGCGGTCAAGGTTAAACTGTAAATCACAATTGGCTGATTTCTCTCCCTATGATAGACCACGAACTGAGTATAAGTGTAGTGAAAATTAGAAAATAAAGCTAATTTACTTTCTTTATTATAACATTTAATAAGCTCTAAAATATCTAAGGGATCACATGATCTACCAAAGATTTAATTAAAGAAAGCAAATTAGTTTAAAATTTTAAATGCATTCAAAAGCTTGTTTTTATAAAGGTTTTTTTATTTGTTATATTTAAACTCCAGGTCCTTGAAGAATCCAAACAAAATGCTTTATTGCACCATGCTGCATGTAACCTTGTGAAAAGACCTGGAACAATTTATTACTTGTACCAGAGGGAGTCAGGCCAAAGCTATTTCAGCATTTTGTCACCTCAGGTATTCAGGTTTTTGATTTTTTACATCGGGTTTGTTTATGGTCAAATCTTGTGACGTCCTCACAAGATGAAACTTTTCCACTTTTTTTTTGTCCTGGAAATCTGCATATTCAACTGAAAAAAAAAATATTCCACCTACCCACTTTTTTAGAAAAAAAAATCTTCTGTCGATTAATTTTTGTCTAGATATTTCTGGGTGGTCCCACATTTCTTTAATTCTCTAGACCTTTGCTTTGACTTGTGTATTTCTTTGCCATTAGGGTTTTTCCCTTTTTTACTTTCTCATTTATACGAAGTATAGAGAAAGTCTTGTAATCGTGCAAAAAAAAAAAATCGAGATTTTTACAAATCTCGACGTTTTACACCTCACTGATACGGAAAAACATAATTTTGCAATCTTGTCTGTGTGTCTGTCTCTGTGTAAACATGATAACTTGAGTACCGTTACAGCTAGGTTGATGAAATTTCATATATAAGTATTTTATCAAAATTGTAGATCCTGATCAACTTTTGAGCGATTTCCGATAACCGGAAGTGGTACGTTTTCTACTTTGAATTTTTCAAAAGCCTATAACTTGAGTACTATTTCGGATAGATAAATGAAATTTCACATGTAAGTAAAAGATCTACTTTCTCTACCTTCTGTCAAATTTTGAGTAATTTCCGTTGACCGGAAGTGCTAATTTACACTATTTCCGATTTCTCAAAAAACGCATGTAAATTTATAAAGAACTAATAATGTCCCGCTCCATTATGCACATTTTATTAGGCGTTCACTTGGTGTGCAATTTTTTTTTTTTTACGAGAATCTATTCTATTATAAAAAGTTTAAGCAATTAAAAATGGATTACAAATAGGCCTATTGTATATGTCCTGAGTTGCCATCCCTTGTAGTTTTATATTAAAATATTCGAGAAAGTTTAGGAGAGATCACTCCCGGTTTATTTCCATAGTATAACTTCAGTACATTTCTCAGGCTAGCTGATGTTCAGTATGCATTGCAGGCATCAGATAAAGAGTTTCTTTACAAATAAATGTAAAATATGCTGAAAACGGCACCACCAAGCTTTTCTTAATTGACTTTAGTAGGTTTAATAGAGCTAAAAACATGCAGCTACATAATAAGGTTTTAGCAGTCAAGTGCTATTTTTATTTTTTTTTAGTATATATCTAATATTAAAGCTTTTATTTTTCAGCTTTGTTAGATGAACTAAACCCCCTTCATAGCAGAGTTTAAACAAATTTCTGAATGATCAGTTCATTATAAAGTTATAGTTTAATAAAGTAGAAAAACTCGCCAAGTTCATTGATTGTTTTTTTTTTAATTGTTGATGGCTCATCCAACAGAGGGGGAGGGTTAGGAAGAGCTAGATGGGTATTGCTGTTGTTACTCTGTGCATATATATTAATTGTCCACACTCATGTGCAGATGTACTTGTATACTTTTACAAATACAACTTCTCAAACATGGCACTTTTTAGGGTGTCAAAAAAAGTTAAAAAAAAAACTAAATTTTATAACATAACTTTTGACTGCTTGAGGTATATGACCAAATTTGGTATCAAGTGTGTGTCTTAATCATAATCTTGTGTTCTTAACATAGCAGCTTTCAAAAAAACATCTGGGATGGTTTTAAAAAATGAGTTTGACAAACCAGCTAAAATGGAAACCTGAGACGACATGTGATTGGAGATGTGATGCTTGTAGAAAAAGTACAGGAGTCTCCTGTTAATTCTGACAACCAGTAATGTAGGGAAATTAATATGAATCACTGATAGAGGTTTTGGTTTGATAGCTGGGGGGGGGGGGGGGGGGGGGGATTTTACTTAGCTTGGACTGTCTTTAGCACTTGTTTTAGGAATTTTACTTAGCTTGGACTGTCTTTAGCACTTGTTTTAGGAATTTTACTTAGCTTGGACTGTCTTTAGCACTTGTTTTAGGAATTTTACTTAGCTTGGACTGTCTTTAGCACTTGTTTTAGGAATTTTACTTAGCTTGGGCTGTCTTTAGCACTTGTTTTAGGAATTTTACTTAGCTTGGACTGGGATGTCTTTAACACTCGTTTAAGGAATTAATGTTGTCTGAAGTTGAGGTCAACCAGCTTTTTGGTTTGAGTTTGTTCTTCTCATAATCCAGTCTCTGGCTATCTAAAAGATCATTGGAGAAAGCATACAGGCTTGTAGTTTTCACTGAAAATTGGCTGTTCAACTAGTTTTGTATTACTGTTGTGTGATGATGTGTTATGGAGGCATCACATAGCTCTTCATTACCTGCCAAACTGTCCTCACTATAATTAAAAATCTACATAGGTCGTGTAGAGAGGCAATAGTCACTCACCTGACTGTTCAATAATATATGTCATAGTGGCTGCGTTCAGTGCATAAGACCCTTCACCTCCATCTCTTATGGAACATAACAAGTCCGTAACTAACACAATCATTTTAGTTTAAGAGCTTAGTTTACTTAGCTACAACTAATGCCACTAATGTGAAGAAAATATGGCAGCAAAGCTACTTTGACTGGCATTGGATGGTTCATAAAAAAACAGGATGTGTTTGTCAGTGTGGGGTTGATCAATAGTTGGGGCAGAATCCAATGCTCTGTATACACATGGATAAGACCTGATTCTACTTGGCTAACACATACACTGAGAATGTGGGCAAATAGTAATGATGGAATTGAAATTTTTTTTTTTGTTAATTGCAGGAATGGGGAAAGACTTGCCCTCATCAATTTTTGGGGGCTTATAGGTTGGAGTTTGACCAGACATGGACCCCTTTTACAGTGCTGGAGCAGAAAGATAAGGAACTGGCTTTCTTAGATCAAGTTTTTAATGCCCAGCAGGCCCTAGCTGCTGATGATATAATAGAGTTGAAGAAATCCTCTAGTTTAGCACAAATTTCAGACAGGGCTGTTGGCAAATGTCAAGAGAGCTGAGTGGACAGTAGGTCATGGGATTGTGTGATGGGGAGTGTACAGTAGGTCATGGGTGTAGGGATTGTGTGATGGGGAGTAGACAGTAGGTCATGGGTGTAGGGATTGTGTGATGGGGAGTGGACAGTAGGTCATGGGTGTAGGGATTGTGTGATGGGGAGTGGACAGTAGGTCATGGGTGTAGGGATTGTGTGATGGGGAGTGGACAGTAGGTCATGGGTGTAGGGATTATGTGATGGGGAGTGGACAGTAGGTCATGGGTGTAGGGATTGTGTGATGGGGAGTGCTTGCTTCCAATCTGGCACATTTAACCTGTGCAACTCTGGTATATACAGTTTAAAATTGTCAGTGGAGTATACAAATAATATTTGGTGTAACATGTATTGTGCTGTTTATTTTTGTTCACTTCTAAAGTTGAGTAAGACAATTACATTTTTGTGAGAAACCTTGATCATGTGATTTCAAATGGTGCCTGCAGTTGGCAAAGCAATGAAATCTCAGTCTATCAAATTTCTCTCATTCATTAATTCCAATGCAATCATACAGAATATCAGAGGTAATAAAGTTAACAAAAACTGTGTTTTGTAGTTTTGATCTGATGAAGTAGGGGTGTCAAACTGATTAAGCTTTGTATCTGGCCTGCTTTGTTGATCTGACGTGGTTGAGTAACAGAACAATGGCTGCAGGTGTCATCCCAGGGATACGACTGGCAGCAGCAATCTGAAAAAAGTTTTTTTTTTTTACTTTGAGTGACATTTTGATTATTTAGCAATTTGTTTCATTGCAAAAATGTACATTGAGCAAATTATACTGCACTTTTTCCTCCAAATGAAATAATGTATTTCTTTATGTCCCATATCACTGGTACACTAAGCATACATTGTAAATAAAAAAATTCCACAAACCGAGGCTGGTCTGGCTTGGGCTAATTTGACTTTAGCATCCGTAGACATGTTCAGACTAGAAATAAAGAGCAAGCAATCAGTTCATAGGAAATGTTGCAAAAATAAAATTAGGCTCTAGATAAGTAGTGAAGTACTCTTTCAAACATTATCGTCCAAGGGGATAGTATGGTTAGCACTATACCCAACTGCTTTTACTTTCCGTACTACTATGAGTCAAGTGCCCATCAGAGCCAATGCCGGATTAATGGGGCGAGCGGGCAGCAGCCAAAGGCCCCCAAATTTCTCTTATAAACCATAGTAAATTTCACGTAACTCCATTACTCTTGGATTTTACTTGCTTATTTCAATTTTTTTTTAAAAATAAGTACCAGCTGTCATCACCTCCTACCCAGACAGTGTTTACATAAAGCCAATGATCCCTAAAATAACATTCTGGGCCACAGTTGATTTTATAGTTAAAAAACAAACAGCAGCAAAAATTTGATTCTACTTTACAATTGACACCTCACACAGTAATGAATGTTGTTTCATCAGATCGCGTAGTGAGGTGGTAACCAAACATAAATTTTAAAAATACAAATGCTGGTCTGTTAGGTATAGGATCTACACCTCGAATTAGCTCTCACTCAAGCATGCAGACTAGCAGCATTAAAGTATAACTCCAGCAAAAAAAATACCTAGCTTTGATCACCAGCTACACTACTAAGAAAGGTATTTAGGTATGGGAAGATGCTTTACATTTTTTATTTGAAATGAGGTTTTGGATAATTATAGGTACAGGGTATCTAGACCTAGTAATTTTTATTAGTCATCAGAGCAGGAGGTAGAGTTTACCTATTTCTGCGAATGACATTTAGATAGTTCTATGCCTACCCGCCTTAACTTTAAAAAAATATGAGAAAGGTAACCACCAGAGTTGGGTGTTCTCAGATTTGAGCCCGATATACAAACTCAGGACTTTTGGGTTAGCAGTCAGTTGCTCTACTTCCCGACTTTACATGCAATTTCTCTGTCTAGCATTGCCATTGTAAACTTGCAACATCTAATTTTTTAAAATCATAATAGGCAGCAACCAGTTAATTAGCTTGTAATTTCTATGATGCTAAAAATAGATTTATCTTGAGATTATAAAAAAAAAATCATTCATTTTGCAGTTAACCCAAGTTAAAGGACAACCATATTATGGCAGGTTTATCTATAATAAGTTAGGTCTACATTCAACAGAAATACGGGACTTTTGGGTTAGCAGTCAGTTGCTCTACTTCCCGACTTTACATGCAATTTCTCTGTCTAGCATTGCCATTGTAAACTTGCAACATCTAATTTTTTAAAATCATAATAGGCAGCAACCAGTTAATTAGCTTGTAATTTCTATGATGCTAAAAATAGATTTATCTTGAGATTATAAAAAAAAATCATTCATTTTGCAGTTAACCCAAGTTAAAGGACAACCATATTATGGCAGGTTTATCTATAATAAGTTAGGTCTACATTCAACAGAAATACGGGAGATGAACATGGGTTGGGCAATCTAATTTACATATTTAAAAACACTATTAGTATTAGGCCTAGATTCTCTATAGTTTTTATTAATAGGGTTTGAGCATCACTAGTCCATATCATGAGGTAACATCTGTACATCACTTACCTCATATAGTCCATATCATGAGGTAACATCTGTACATCACTTACCTCATACAGTCCATATCATGAGGTAACATCTGTACATCACTAACCTCATATAGTCCATATCATGAGGTAACATCTGTACATCACTTACCTCATATAGTCCATATCATGAGGTAACATCTGTACATCACTTACCTCATATAGTCCATATCATCAGGTAACACCATCTGTTCCTCACGTTTAACACGTTCCATCTCCTCTGTCTGACCAACAATTTCTGCGCTGTACTTGACTATAGGGTTCAAGTAGGAAATAATAAATAATTATCAACTACTGTCACAAAACATAAAAGTTTAAAACTTTTCTTACAAAAACGTACAAACTTTATAGCTTTGGTTACAACAAGAAAAAATTAACACATTTGTTTTTATGCTAAACAGATATGTTAGTGAAACTTGGTGAAAGAAAAAATATCAGTGTGAATATAAGGAGAAAGTTGGATTGAATATCAGTTGGATATTATAGTACTGTAATGAATGTGGGAAAAAAATGAAAGTAACCTTCAATCTCAATTCTCTCAAGCAGATGCTTGCTAGCTGTTCTCAGGTGACGGAGCTCAGGTATGGCCACAGATAAGGCTTCTATGTTCACCAGTGGGTTACACAACACATCTCTGCCACTAAATTCATTCACAGATAGGCATTCATAGATTTATGTATCTATATATATATATATATATATATATATATACATAAATATATGTACTAGCCATCGGTACCCGTCTCACGTGAATTATAGGCCTATATATTTTAAAATGTACTTGTTTGAGAAAAATTCTAGATCTAGAATCCAAATAGATAAAATATATATATATATATAAGTTTAGGCCGGAAAAATTGTATTTTACACATTTTATAGCGTACGTAGATCTAAATCAAATTTGAAAGAAATAGTTCATTTCTTTTTATTCTAAACATGGCAGATGACGTCATTAGTTAATGTATAAACATTAGTGACGACACTGTTTTATGCGTTCTTTTTCACAACTAAACGCTTTTCCTATTGCATAATTAAAACTTTTTCTAAATTCGAATACGCCATTATTTTTCTTCTGTAAATAAAATTGTGGTTACACATTTAAAACATCTACCATATTATTTTCAACAAAAGTTCGTATCAAGTTCTCCATATATCGCTGCAGATTCTGACGTGATATCCGGCGAAAATATTTTGTGGACACAGAGAGAGAGAGAGAAGTGCACACATGGGCTTTTATATTTTAGGATATATATATATGTATATATATATAAATATGTATATATATATATATATATATATATATATATGTGTATATATATATGCGTGTATATATATATATGCGTGTATATATATATATATGCGTGTATATATATATGCGTGTATTATATGCGTGTATATATATATGCGTGTATATATATACATACATATATACATATATATATATATGTACATATATATATGTGTGTATATGTGTGTGTGTATGTGTGTGTTTATGTGTATGTATATATGTATATATATATGTATATATATATATATATGTATATATGTATATGTGTATATATGTGTATATGTATATATATATATATGTGTATATATATATATATATATGGACATATATATGTATGTGTATGT